CGTTCTGAGTTACTTTTTAAATTTACCAAGCTTGCGAAGAAGCAAAAGAAAATGCTCAATATTATTCATACGCTGATAAATCATGTTATTAAAGAAAAATCGAAGAATATAGAAGAGAAAAATCAACAGCAAAAGAAAGTGCAAAATGAAGACAACAAACTTATGGAAAGCGTAAATGCGATCAAAAATGAAGGAAATGACCAAAATAATGATGCTAAATATAAACTGCATTATGTCAGAGATGATATCGATGAAAACGATATAAATGAAAAAAAACGACTTGCGTTCCTAGATACGATGATGGAATTGAAAAATGTTGGACAGATAACTGACGAGGAAATTTGGGAGGAAGTAAACACTATCATGTTTGAAGTACGCGTACTGCATTTTAATTACAATAATAATCTCAATTGTATAATGAATTTTCTAACTGACGTATTAAATTTTATAATAAAAAGTTTCCTTTCACTTTCTTTTTTTAAAAAATTTGGTGTATTGTAAGCTATGCTATTGTAAGTTATATTATTTGATGCATTGTTAGAAAACCAATTAGTGATTTATTACAGGGTCATGATACCACAGCAGCTGGCTCAAGTTTTGCACTATGCGCCTTAGGATGTCATCAAGATATTCAGGTAAATTTATTTGCAATTTAGTATTTTTGGAAAGAAATCTTTAAAATTCTTTATCTTTTTATACTCAATTTTTTCTTATTTTTTCACTAAATCTTATATAGTCATTGCAGTTGTGTGACATTTACTTTCTGTTAAAATTATGGATGATATTTGATTTCAATATTAATCGCAAGTCCATCTTCTTTTCTGTCCTTTCAACTTGATAATTTTTACTATGCAGGCTCGCGTGTATGAAGAATTGGATACAATTTTCGGCGACAGCGACAGACAATGCACTTTTCAAGACACTTTGGAAATGAAATATCTCGAAAGAGTTATTTTGGAAACTCTGAGACTTTTTCCACCGGTACCTGTCATTGCCAGAAAACTTAACGAAGAAGTAAAGATAGGTAAGTATACCTGATACACAACAATAATATGGATAATTATAAATTTTTTTATTATTTATTTTAGAAACTTACTTATGTAGAATTTGAAAGACTAAAATAGTTAATTTTTATGAAACAACAGTTACAGGTGATTATATTCTTCCAAAAGGTGCCACGGCAATAATAGCACAATTCGCAGCGCATCGTTCGGACAAATATTATCCGAATCCAACAGTTTTTAATCCAGATAATTTCCTACCGGAAAAAATGCAAAAAAGACATTACTATGCTTTTATTCCTTTCAGTGCTGGACCAAGGTATTTAATAGATGAAAGTCTTCGATACAGAAAATTATATACTTAAATTCATTTTTTATACTATATTACAAACATTTTGCAACAAACTTTTTTATGAAAATAACACAACACGTTGTCATATTTGACATTAAAAAATTTTGTTAAGGTCCTGCGTGGGGCGAAAATATGCTATGCTAAAATTGAAAGTCCTGTTGTCGACGATACTAAGAAATTATCGTGTCATTTCTGATGTGCCAGAAAAAGATTTCGTTTTACGCGCCGATATTATTCTAAAAAGGCATGACGGATTCAAGATCAAGATCGAGCCACGCAAACCAGTATCTTTGATTTAATTCAGGAAAACGGTGAAAGAATTTAATTCTCGTGCAAACGCGAGTAAGCGTTATACTATATAAGTTTGAAAATTATATTTTTTATATATTATACAATTATACATTTCGGGAGCGGGTATTTTTTTTAAAGGGCAATAATTCTGATTATAATATTTTTTCAGCACAATATTTTGATATAATGATATATTTAAAAAATTATATTTATTATATTTAAAATATATTTTATAAAATATATATATATATATGTATGGTATATGTATAAAACGTATATTTACATGTATATATAATTTATTGTATTTAATTTATTATATATTTCAAAAAATATCTACATCTTATCGTTTATCTTATGCGAATGTTTGCATTCGTGTACGTATATGTTTAAAAGAAAAAAATTATCAAATATTAAAATCGAATATTGCCATTTCTATTTGAAACACATCCTGTTTACATTTTCGTGTTTATTGGTACATTTATAAATTTCTGCTGAAAAGAGTTTAGGTCAAAAATTTAATGGACTGTTCTAATGCTTTCAAAGTTGATAAAATTGAATATTGGCATGCTCGATTAAATTTAAATCAAAGCTCGATTGCTGGATGATAATTTAAACGCGCATTATAAATAGTACAAATAATATTCTCATTCGAAAATTATGAATGGACGAGACATATGACCTCGAAATTTGTATTGACGTCAATTCCAACGTCAATTTAGGTGATGAAATGATAATTGAAACTATAGATATGTAAGTATTGAGATATATTCACCCAAATCATTAAAGAATGACCATAAAGAAGCGGTAACCGGTCTATTGCAATTCTGATGATGTCTTTCACCACTATGACGCCACTTTTGTGTTATGGCGCCATACTTGTGGTAAATTCATGTATTTTATATACACATTAAAGATGCAAGATATAATTTCCATACAAAACCAACGACATATTTTATGAGCTACCTATCCTAACGTTAATTACATTGTATTATTACGTCGAGTGTTCTAGAGCAATTTGCTTTGTGAAAAAGCTTCCATGTAAGTATTCAACAAAAATTAATTTTTTAATTTGATAAGTAATAATATTTCTTTGTTATAAAATAAGAATCGATTTTCAAGTTATATATTTCACTTAATATTTAACATTTGATTTAACATTAAACTCCTTTGATTCAGGTCCACCACATGTACCTATATTACGTCACGCATTAATCACTTTTAGACTGTCTCCAGAGATCACAGTATCCAAAACCATGGAATATCTCAATACATACGGATTAGTATTAGGCGGATATTTGGGAACGAGAGTAATCATTTTTCTGTTAGATCCACAGGATATTGAAATAATTTAGAGTAGCCCTGCACACATCGACAAATCCGTGGAATACGAGTAAGAAATCAAATAATCAAAAATCTACATATTATAATGTTTTTATAAAATTAATATAGTTATATAATTTCACGCTGAGTGATTTTTAGTATTATTACATTAAATAAAGGAGAGATTTCGACCATGGCTCGGAGAGGGTTTGCTTATCACAACTGGCGATAAATGGCTAAGACATAGAAAAGTGATAGCGCCTACATTCCACACGAGTATTTTGAAGACGTTTGTACCTTTGTTTTATGAGAATAGCATGGATCTTGTGAGACGACTTCGCGATAAAGTTGGAAAAGAGTTCGACTGTCACGATTATCTGTCAAATGTAACAGTTGACATTTTAACTGAAACTGCGATGGGAATCAAAAGAGAAAAGAGGCAAAGCACTGGATATGATTATGCCGTAGCCGTGATGAAGTAGATATTTAACGTATAAGACGGGCAACAAGAGCCAAATCGCGGATGACAATGCGTTATCCTAACGAAACTAAATAATTTTTCGTTAGAATTAAATACCGGTGCACAAGGCACCAAATTTTTACTTGGACACGGCCAAGATTTTAAATATGAAATAATCTCATATTTTGAGATTTAATTTCAATACCCCTTTTTTAACCCCCCTACGGAAAATACGCGCTGCTAAGTTTCAAAATTACAATGCACCTTAAAGTAACATTAATTAATTTAAACACAAAACATATTTTAACTGTAATGAGTTTAAAAGTAACAATTTAATTTTAATATTGTTAGAATATTATTTAGCAGCGCTCCCAGTTTTTTTAACTAAAATTTTTTTATTTCTTTTTCACATGGCGCATGGACTTGGCATCTTGTTTATCTTTTTTTTTAAAAGATAAGTTTTTTTATGGTACGATTCTACATTTGCAAATTTAAATTTTTACTAATTCATTATACGACTCTATATATGTCTGCAACTTTAATTTTCCACTGGTACAAGTTTCTACTTTCACTTGGCGCAATTTTTTTTTTATTTCATTACTTTTGTTACGATTGTACATGGGTTTATAATCGATAATTTTTCATACAATTCTATTGTACATGGGTTTGCAATGTAGGATTCTACATAAGTTTGCAATGGATAATTTTTAATACAATTCTACATGGGTTTGCAATGGTTAATTTTTCATAGGATTCTACATGAGTTTGCAATGGTTAATTTTTCATAGGATTCTACATAGGTTTGCAATGGGTACGATTCTACACGGGTTTGCAATGGTTAATTTTGCCTAGGATTCTACATGGGTTTGCAATGATTAATTTTTCATAGGATTCTACATGGGTTTGCAATAGGATAGGATTCTACATGGGTTTGCAATGGATAATTTTTGTTAATGGCGTGCCTTTAACTGGTCGCCTTTTTTTACCTTTTTTTAAAGGTGATATTATATACTGTACGTACATTCATAGTATGAATATAGAATATTCGTATAATATCATGTGCTGTCTGGGAAGTGATTAATTGGCGTAGTGATAAATTTCTACAAGAGAATAAGGAGCCTTTAAATTCTTAATGTAAAAAATTTCAAGTAATTTTCTTTAATAAAATTTAATTAAAAAATTTAATTAAAAAATTTTTGAACATTGTGTTAAATCACATTTAAAATTGTGATTATTTCAATAAAAAAACATTTTGTGTAAAAAATATATTTTTTATATTTAATAAATTTTATATATATATATGCATATGTAAAATATCTCTCTCTCTCTCTCTCTCTCTCTCTCTCTCTCACACACACACACACACACAACGGGGGCCAAATCTCTCAAATTGGTTTCAAGATCAATTAGCCTGGATTCGCACCAGGGGCAAAGTCTGTTGGTAATGTCAAACGAATTTAGCCTGGACTTGCACCAGGGGCAAAGTCTTTTGGTCAAGTCTACGAAATTTAGCACGGACTCGAACCAGGGGCAAAGTGTGTCGGTAAGGGGCAAAGTCTATCGCACGAAGATGGCGGTCTCTTCTTTAGGCAGGCCTTTGGCGATCTGTCTATTAATCTGTGTCCGAATCTCCGATCACGTGGCCCGAGCGCTTCATCATTGCATCCTAAGTGCAGGTTAGGTCGCGCAGACACGCGGTACTCGTATTTCTCCTTCTCTCACTCGACTCGCAGCCACCGAATCGAACGTACCGCACCGGAGCCGCTCACCATGTCCAACAAACCCGCGTACAAAGTCGGTAAGCGATAAATGAGAGACGAGCATTACGAGTGAAAGAAAATGTCAGACGGCAAGACACGCCGGACGAATACGTGCACTCGCGTTTCTGGGATGGCGAGCGATGTTTCATCATTGCATGATTTGCCACATTTAAAGAGTGATTATTATAAAATCCTCTCACGCAAAAATATATACCACAAAATACCTACTTTCAGTTTATTAAAAGAAATGTATTGCCAGTATTTTTCTCTATGCTCCAAAAACTTTTATGTAATAAAAGAATTTTTAATGTATTTAAAAAAATAACAGCGAGATAAATAATTTTTTTATAGGAATATATATATAGTTGATAATAAAATAATTTGTCAAATTGTCGTTTTGCGCGTTGCTTCATATATTTTAGGATGCTATTTTTTAATGATTCTTCATTCTTTAATTTTTTCTCTAATAACTTCTATACATATATATAATTATAATATATTATTATATATTATATATAATTATCTATAATTATCGATTTAGATTTGTTTGAAATAATGTTTTCCGATTTTTCGACAGCTGATCTTACCTTGGCGGAATGGGGTCGCAAGGAGATCACCCTGGCGGAGAACGAGATGCCAGGACTCATGGCTATCAGGAAGAAATATGGACCATCGAAGGTGTTAAAAGGAGCACGAATCGCCGGCTGTCTTCACATGACTGTACAAACCGCAGTGCTGATTGAGACTCTGGTAGAACTCGGTGCAGAGGTGAGCTCTGAAAAAATATACTTTTGTTCTAAAGAAACGTTCAAGGACTTTATTTACATATATAATAATCGTTTTTGACATAAATATCTAATAAAATTAAGAGAAAGAAATTTCTGGTACTTTCTTTTATGTTAAAGAATAGATAAAATTAAGATGTGATGTCACAAATGAGATTACTATAATCATTGTATTTTTTATAAAACCTGAGTGGAATAGATAATGGATAGATAACCTTTTCCTCTTATGTCACTGGGACATTTAACAGCAAAGTGAATATAATAGATATTTGAATGAAAAAATATTTTGCATTTCAAAAAGTCTTTTGTACATATTTCTATTAACTTGAGAATATTACAAAAAAATACTAGGTACCATTACTTAAATCTTTTTAAATCTTATTGTGTTTCTTTGAATCATAGCTTCATTCATACAAAGAAAAACTGATTAAATTCTCCTCTAAAAGTTGGTCAACATATTTAAAGACACAATCATCCAAGAGTTTAAATATTTGGAAATTCAGTGTGTATACTCTTTGAAAAAAACCTAGAATTCTCAGGAAATGTTTTTCTATCTTGAAAAATCCTGGAATATTCATGGAATTTATTTTTAACTTAGGGAATTTTTTAAAAAATTGCCCCTTTATATAAAGTATATTAAAATATAATATTATATTAAACATTTTTTTATTTATGTTAAAAAATTATGTATAACAAAAATATATTTAATTTAAAATTGTATTTAAAATTTTGTTAAATACTTTAATTTTAAAATTATATAATGCAAAATAAAATTCGGCTCGTATGCAATTAAAATATGTGATAAATTAGAAGGCCAACTTGACGAGCTATAAGGTATTAATTACAATTTTTTATTATTATACGTCATATTATAATGTTACAATTGATAAACGACATATTAACATAGCGACAATGATATTGAAAAAGACTGTCGTACAGTCGAAACGTTTATCAATTGTAACATTATAATTATGACGTATAATAATAAAAAATTGTAATTAATACCTTATAGCTCGTCAAGATGGCCTTCTAATTTATCACATACTTTAATTTTACTTTGAATTTTGAACAAAAGTATTTGGAAAATCATGGAATTTATTTATAAGATTTGAGTATACACTCTGAAATTAAATTTCAACAAAATTATCCTTATATCGCAGGTGCAATGGTCGTCCTGTAATATATTCAGCACCCAGGATCATGCGGCAGCAGCTATAGCGAAAACCGGAGTACCAGTGTACGCCTGGAAAGGTGAAACCGACGAGGAGTACATCTGGTGCATAGAGCAGACCCTCGTCTTCCGGGACGATAAACCACTCAATCTGATTCTCGATGACGGTGGCGATCTGACCAACCTCGTGCATACCAAGTACCCGCAGTATCTCAAGGAATGTCGCGGCATATCCGAGGAGACCACCACCGGAGTGCATAATCTTTATCGCATGTTGAAGGAGGGTCTTCTCAAAGTGCCGGCAATCAACGTTAATGACTCTGTCACGAAGGTGCAAAATTATGGATAAACAAGTTTATTGATGATTCAATATCAATATATGAGGAAATAATTAGACTTACATCTATTTCAAATGATAATTTGCAATTATAAATTCAAATAGTCATTACACTCGCCAATCGAGATAATAAATATGATTGCGTAATAGAAATGACGACATAGATAAGCTAACGATGAGGAAATTATGTTATTTAAAGAAATCCTGCGCAATATAACGATGAAATAGACACCGAGATTTTTCATTGGAAGATAATATTTTTCAGAAATCTACTAAAATTCTATTAAATTAATAAAAATGATTGAAATGGATGTAAAAGTAATAACAGGACAAAATGAACTCTAATTTGATCTTATTTTTAATAGAGCAAATTCGACAACTTGTACGGATGTAGAGAGTCATTAATAGACGGCATCAAGAGAGCGACCGACATCATGATTGCCGGCAAAGTATGCGTGGTGGCGGGCTACGGAGATGTCGGCAAAGGATGCGCGCAGAGTCTCAGAGCTTTCGGAGGTCGCGTTATTATCACGGAAATCGATCCTATCAACGCCCTTCAAGCAGCTATGGAAGGATATGAGGTAAAATCAATTCAATGGTAAAAAAAATTCTCGTTTCAATCCTTGATTAAGTGTCTCTATGTCACAAATGGGGAGATTGATAAATCAAAAAATCAAATGTAAAATTGAAAACTGCTATATCAATTCGCGAATTTAAATAAATTTAGAAACAATTCAGTTTTCTCTTCAATTCAAATTCATGCAAATCGTCAATTAAATCGTTATCACATTCTCATTATATTAATTCTCAGGTGACGACAATGGACGAAGCGTCTATGAAAGGCCAAATATACGTGACTACTACAGGATGTAAGGATATCATAGTGGGTCGACACTTTGTAAATATGCCGAATGACGCCATCGTCTGCAACATAGGACACTTCGATTGTGAGATCGATGTTACGTGGCTAGAAAAGAACACTGTTGAAAAGACTAATATAAAACCACAAGTGGACAGATATAAATTGGAGAACGGCAGGTACGTTGTATTTAAAATTGTGAAATCAAAGATGAAACTGAATGTCTCTTCACAACAATAAATTAAACCATATCGTTCATATTTTAGGCACATTATTCTACTCGCGGAGGGTCGTTTAGTGAACTTGGGATGCGCGATGGGCCACTCGAGCTTCGTCATGAGCAACTCGTTCACAAATCAAGTGCTCGCGCAGATCGAACTCTGGACAAAATCGAACAAGTATTCGATCGGCGTGCACATGTTGCCGAAGAAGCTGGACGAGGAAGTCGCGGCATTGCATCTGAATCATCTGGGCGTGAAGTTGACAACTCTAACGTCGGAACAAGCTAAATATCTAGACGTGTCTATTGAAGGGCCTTATAAACCTAATCATTATCGATATTAGTTCGATTATTCGCGAGTGAGAAGACTTGCAATAAATCATCGTATAATAAATTGTTTTTGTTACAGTTATACAAGTGACTTTTTTTATAAAATTGAAATTAACATCATCTATTTTATACAGTATTTGACTAATTAATGCATTAAAGCTTGTCTCTCTTTGTAAGAATCTCCTATTGAGTCGAGCAATAATAATAATTTTGTTAATATTTAATTAGAGTCATTAGTTCGATTTTTAGTTATTTGATCCTATCACTTTTTGCTATTTCTGTCACATTTTCACCCTTTATCGTGAATTACTTTTTAAGCAATTTGATAAAAGGATATCGACAATACGTAAAACGAAAGAAAATTATGTATTCTTTTTTGTCATAACAATAACTATCACAGATCATGATTATGTACAATTTCGCCTACATTACCTATATTTTAAATAGCATTGAGTTCTCTTGTAGACAATGACAGCCACAACCAGTAGGGCATATTGTTTCTTTAGCAAACCATGCAGCTAAGTGCTCGATATGTCCACCGTGGCCACAAAACATGCAGAAGTTGCTTGCACCTTGATTTTCAAATGACATCGATTTAGTTTTATTTTAACTTATTTGATCACATATTATAATTATAATTGATACAAACCTTTGACTGTAACATGGCATACGATACATTGAAAGCTCAATCCCTTGCAGTTTGCACACTGTGGACCTTGGCTGATCTTGCTGCAGAGTCGACACTCGTTTTGCAACTCTACACCCTTCTGCACGTCGAATGGACATGCACTTAAATGTTTCAATACCTGCGCCCGACCATCCAATAGCTCCCATCTGTGCAATGCTTCAGCGTATGATTTCTTATAACCATCGTATAATGCTGTATATTTTTCGTCGAGCAATCTATAAACAAGGTACATCGGTTACATTAAAAAAAAATTAGTGTTGTCTAGCTTTATATAACTTACTTAATGTTCTTCGCCGAGTCCCCGAACGTGTCTCCAATGACTTTCAAATCATCGAGCGATTCCGACCACGAGTTGGACCGATGTTGTTTCAGATTCTGAAAATTCCATCCCTCCATCGTGGTATCCGCCAGATGAATCGTGTGGTAAGGTGAACCGCCAGGCTACAAATAATTATCAAATAAAATAGATTCGCAATTTGTGTATAAATTTTAATATTATTAATCTTAATATTATTAATCTTAATATTATCTTAATATTATTTAATATTATTTATATTAGCGTTAATTAATATTTATATACAATCCTTCATAATCGGGATTATCATTAATTGAATAACATGTGTGAGCTCTTGCAGAGTGTTTATCTATATGAAATATAGGCATAATTAAATATAGCAAACAGCACACATTGTTTAACCACCAACTGCGATTTGCTGCAAGCGATACGCGTGTTAATTTGTTTTTTTTCCTCATGAAACACACTCATAGAAGTGTGGGAAGATTTGTGTATGTATCCAGATTAATCAGGCGCAGCGAGCAAATCTGCATATGTGGCATAGTGACACTTTCCAGTCCGATGCTCAGAGGTGAATGTAAAATATCGATCACATAGTAGTCCTAGAGAAAACCAGAACACTTTGTTTTGTGAACAGAATTCAGAGATCTTACCTTTAACCACCATTTTCCTGTGGAAAGCCTCTATAACAAAACGTAACATATTATATTGTTAGCTATGATATATGCATAATTATAGATGACATAAAATATAAAAGATACGTCGGTACAGTATATTTTATATAGTACATTTGTTTAGTAATATAAGTTATATGAGTATTTTATATAATATACTCTTTATATAACTTATTATATAAGTATTTTATATAATATACTTTTTATAGTATTGCATTATTACATGAATAATAATACAAATCATCATATTAAATATTTGCATACTATACTGTCGTATCAAACATTAATACAAATAACCAAGTACAAAACATCACACATTTCCTCATGCATCGGAGGAAAGAGACACGTGCTGTGCATAAAAAGGTGTCTCCCTCCTTATTAAATATATGAGGAACGCATATGTTGAAGACGAAGATGTGACTGCTGAACATATATGTATATACATAATTTCTCCCATCAATTTTGCAGGATATCAGTGCTGTTTCACCATTAGGAAACAATTTCAACACATGGTACACTTTGCTTTTTCGCACGAATTACATACTTACACTGACGTTTACGGATTTGCTAGTCAGCCTGGTTTGTGCGGCGTCCGTGTTCTCCGATCGGTAGCTAAGTGCACAGCTCAACATACCGGCCATTTGAACATCAGATTGGTTAGCATAATGTTGTATTCTAAACAGAAATACAGAATAGTTAATATCACAATTAATCAATCGACAAAAATTATAATTCTAAAATATATATAAAGTATTTTTTAAATAAATCCTTTTAAAATCTTTTTAGTCTCTTCAATTTTTATATCCCTCTTAATTAAAAAAAAAGTGTTATAATTTATAAAAATATCATTCAATTTATATTATACAGATTCAATATGTTCTTTTTCATACATGCAGCTTACATGTATGTTTTAATAAATGCATATAATTTTAATATATAATGATATATATATATATATATATATATATATATGTAAAATCACAAAAATATTTAACAATTTGCTTACAGAGAGTGAATCAAATGTTGACCCCAAGGATGTAAAAGCCATGGAGCGTCAATATCAGAAGATTGGTTTGATTGAGAATTCTGCTCGGTATTGGAAGATGGTTGCGAAATAATTAAACCAGCTAAACACCAAGTTTGAACTAAATCAGGTCGTTCCAACGTAGCAGCCACATTCGCGTTATACTGACACATAGCAGGAATGTCAGCGGTATTGATTCTATAAAGAAAGGAATAAAATATATTGTAAACTCTTTAAAAATGTGCTCAAACATTATATACAATCATCGTACTCACGTGTATTTCTCAGCGAGTTCCTTATTAACAAAGAATAACGATGACACGTCGTATATCATAACCATTGGATGACAATTCTTAAAATAGGATCGATCATGCATTCTACCAGTTCCATGCAATCCACGTCGAAGATCTTTCTGCTAATGTTAGAATTATAATTACACATAAAATAATATATAAACTAATTATTAATTATATATAATATATACGCGCGACTTATTTCAAGTGAGAATGATGTAAATTGTTATTATGTTATTGCTGAATTTTACTCAATTTTATATTTATAAAATAAAACTGCACAATTATAAGATTGTTTTTTATTAATGCAAATGTTAATATATAACAAGAAATCATGTTAGAATGATTGCTCAGAATCAATATTACCATTTCATAATTTTATAATTCTATTTATATCACTTATTTTTTTTATTTAAATATGCCTTACCCGATCTTGGAAGTAATACGAGCTGATAGACATATTGTCGTTGGTTTGCACATAGGAACTCCGATACATATGCATAAAAGATTCGCCATTACCAATGCTATTGTCCAAGGCGGAGAGTGCCCTGGGTGTTGCATCTTCCGGCTTCATCAATGATCTTCTCGTGTACGAGGGACGGCCGAAACAAACGAGGATACCTGTTCAGAATCGAGAAAAACGTGTTAAATTAAACATTGAGAGGTGATATCAAAGCGATATACGCACCTACGCAAGAAAACTTGGCGCCAGACGTTCTAGGAAACGGTATATAAGAATCCTGATAATTTGCGCAGATGTTGGGTGAGCTCAAAAAGGTGCTGTTATCCTGCATGTGATATGACAAATGACTGCTGTCATCTTCGTCCTTCTTGCACATCTATATGCAAGCACAAATAAAGATATTTTTACACACTATGTTCTCTAACTATATTAATAATATATAATTATATAATATGTATATAATATAATTAATAATATAATTCGATAAAAAAAAAAACAAAACTTGTTTACTTGTTCTAAAGTTATAATTAGTTGCCGAAGACACGGTTCCAGGCACGATCTGTTTTTCCTGACACGATGCTGAGCAGTTTGCGAGAGAACCTTCAGTAATTTGGTCATCATCGCGTTGTCGATTGATGTGCCGGGACAAAATTGAAAGGTAGGCTGCGCGCTGTACGGATAATTTACGGGAAAATTTACTTTTAATATCACATTGTAATTCTTTGTACACGCGGTTATCGTACAACTCCTCTCCGTGGCGTCCATTGCGTTTACCTGGAACGAAACACCAAGTCGTTAGTTTCTTCATCAATTTGTATCTCACTTATAAAGTAATTTCTACGAGTTACCTCTATATTTGGTATATTCATATTTATCAGGGAAAACTCCTGCTGCAAACTCTTTGGCTGGGTGGGAGACGAAACTTTCTTGGAATTGTCTGGAAGATTGACAGTTTCAGATTGTGATACAGGCTCATTCACTTTAGCCGTTATATAATTTATCTCAGGTTCACTCTGAGAAGTGTTAAGCTGCAATTCTTGAACGGATTGCAGAGTTCCTATAAAGACGTTCGTTGCATTAAAACTTTATTATTAGAAATATCTCAATGTGTCTTGATTGAATCCCATATACATACTTAGATTGTTCTCCTCAGAATACTGACTGTAGACTGACAAACCATCGTCCATACCATTACTGCACAACTAAAAGTGAGAAAAACTACTATTATCCCAGTAATTTTTGCAATTCGAACAAAACTGTATCAAAAAAATATATTCTTACTTTCTTTATAAATGGATTAATTTTAAATATCCTTAGGCACTGATCCTTGGACCACGTGACGAGTTCGAATTCGCTGTTTTCTATAAGCAAATAGGAATAAAATTGTAACAATATACAAATTTGAATAATTTTTAGCACACATTTCAGTTAAAATACCTAATTTTAGATGTCTCCATTGAAATTCGAGCACAACATCTGTGTGACCTACAAATGTATAGATTGGTGCACTAAGATTCGACGTATTCCATAGCAAAAGACTATTTTCTCCACGACGCAACTGTGGTACCACTATTGTCACTAAACCTTCCCCAAAAGGCTGTAAAATTCATCAATGTATCATGAGTATCATATAGATATTATAAATCTGAAGTACAATAATCATTCTGAATTCAACATGCATTCTTACAGTATATCTCGCCCTCCATACAGGAGAATTCGTTGTTAAGATACTCTCGGCTCTGCGCGGATTGACAATGTCGAAAATCTTGACGGTGCAATCTTGACTCGATGTTGCCAATTGATTTTGTTGGAAAGGACACCAATCTAAACCATGTATCTAAAATCACTTTGATTTTGATATTTTCTCACAAAAATTATTCCAGATATAAACACAACATATAATTAAAGTGTAACAAAGTTGTGTACTTTGGTCAAGTGGGCTGTTATATATTGCACAGGACTTGTTGCCTTTCGCTGATCCCATATCTTGACATCTCCATCATGCGCTGTGGCTAAAGTGTACGTTGATAGTGGATTCCAACGTACTTGGGATGATCCCACTATAGGAAAGATATCAAAATGCTTAATATTTCTCGTTCAAAAAAGAATCATCTAATTTATGCTTCAATTTAGCATCTTACCAACTGCAGACAGAGACACACATGGTTTCCTTTGATCACGTAGGTCCCAAATATGTATAAATGTGTCAATGCTACAAGAAGCAATAATATCTGGTTCTTTGGGATGCCAATTTAGATCGCTAACCACACGAGTGTGAGCTTTTAAGCTCTGCGTAGTTTGCAATTCATATCCTCCTGCTCCATTAAAATTCAATATCTCAATTCGTGTGTTGCTCTAAAATAAAAAATATTCTATAAAATAAAATACTTGCAGCTTCTCTCAAATAATCTACTTTTTACAATGTACATATATATTTATATAAAAGAAATATATAAAATCTTACAGAAATTGCGCACAAGTGACAATTTAGATCAGATGGATTCCATTCAGCAGAGCCAACCTCGTATTTGCTCTGTCGCTGAAACTTTTTCACCGCATTCACATCCTCGTCCAAATGTTTTACTGCCAGATATCTGCGTCTAAAAGATATAAAATAGTATCGTTATGAAAAATATGGATCATACTTACTGCATTAATAATAAATATCTACAATGCAACTGTGTGAGGGATTAGTTTCTAGCTTGCGCAGTAATTAGAGAAGGCTGCAACATAATTATTTATTGCGCTAATTTTAAAAAGTGCGATTTATCACTTACCCGGCTAACAAAACATAATTGCCGGTCGCGTCCACAGCCATGGTGTTCGCCTATGGACAATAAAAAAGGAGAAATCAATGCATAAACAAACGAATTTTTTCTTTTTCTAGATAATAATAAAAACAGTATTCTGCTATTAATTTATTAATCAAAAGATCGTCGCTATTTTTAAACCGACCTGTAAATCACGGTGCTCCGTAACCACATAATCGCTATTTCGTTTAGACATTTTTTAACAACAAACTTGTGTCATTTCCCTCACCATCCTGCGTCGAAATTAGTTTGTGATCAAAACACAGGCCTCTTTAAAGTCACTAGAAAGGAATAAACCAATCAGAATCCCCATTTTTAGGTTATACCAGAAATCGAAATAAAAACATGACGTATTCTTTAGGGTGCGTTCAAAAATTTTACTCAAGAATGCACAAGTGAATTAACCAATCAGAATCCTCCGTTTCTATCTGAAAGATTTTTTATCGGACATTGTACGCACGAATTAAAACAATTACAACAAGATTTAATTAAAACGCACATTCAAATCGATCGAAATAAATAATAATGCGCACTAGCTGCGACCTACCTCTCACCTTTGCGTCGCATTCCATTCTCCCCACTCCTCCGCCCCCCACCCCAACGCTCAACCCCCACTCTTTATTCCCCGTGCGCTGACAGCTGTCACTTCGCCGCGCATGCGCGCGTCATCCCCACTCCTCCGCGCTGTGCATTCCGCAGAAAGATGTCGCGTCAATCGTCTCGAGCGATAATTTCGCATACGCGAGACCATCTAAAAGATTTGTAAACCATAGAAGAAGAAGAATAACACACCTACATATATGAAACTCACACATATACATATATATACGTGATAATATTTCGAAATAATCTCAAGAGGAAATTTCTGAAAAAATATCTCATTTGTTATCAAGTTTGCCGCATTATTGATTAATTACTTTTTATATTTGTGCATTCTTTCCTGCCCCCCCCTCTCTCTCTATATATATATATATACATGTGTGTGTTGTGTGTGTATGCATGTATGTGTGTGTGTGTGTATAGTAAATCAATTTATATATGCATTAAAAAATTCTATTATACATAAATTTGAAAATTCCACAAAATGGGGAAAGTGACAGATGAAGGAGTAAGAAGTTCAATAAATTCAATTACGCTTTCGACGACTTTATATTTGCGTCCTCGTGCAAAGAAGTTTGAATATACAGCTGACTCATTTTAAATACGGAGTCGCAATATTTCTGTTTTGGGATGAGAAAAACACTGGTCACGGCTTCACACACACAATGCGCGCGCGCACGTCAAGGGACGCGTCACGCACACATGCGTACCGTGACGTCACGCGATTGGCTGCACGCTTCTTGAAGCGCGGACGTGCGAGAAGGACAGACAAAGAAAGAGAGAGAGAGGGGACGATAAGGCTTGCGCTCTCGCGACGCTATTTCTGTCACGTACGTACACACATACACAACTGTATATAAATACACACGTATACGTTTACGTGCGCAGTAACGCGTCTCTGACATCGAGTCGCAATTAGTTTGGTAAATTGGTGAAGCTCGCGAGGAAGGTCGAGTGCGAGGAAAACCTTAAATAGGCGACGTTCAATAGATCTCGACAGTGACCGTGATACTCCGTCAACAGTGACGACAATGTTCGTGATTATGGATTGTTTTCGTCAGTAGCGGACGCTACCCACCAAGTTATTGTGTCTCTTCTCTCTATCTTTCTCTCTCTCCATCTGTCATTGCTCCCGCTGAGGATCTCTACGTCTCTCCGAGAGCAAATCGGTGAAACCCGTCGTCGAAAGTCCTCGTTCGTGTGTGGGTTTTCGTGGCCACCTTCGCCGGAGACGATAATCGTAAAAAAAATAAAAAGGCGAAGCGCCTTTGTCTCTCTCTTGTGAGTTCATTGCGTTGTGTTTGTTGCCCTCGTCGTTTCGTGTCTCGCTCCCTCTTGTTGGATCTTCGTGCGTTCTGTTTCTCTCGCTCCCTTTGAACGAAAAGTCTACAAGGACTCGCTCCTGGGCGTCCTTCTCTCCCTTTCGCGTTCACGGAACTCCGTTCTAGAACTCGATCACCTTTCCTCAAATCCTTGATTAGCTATCTGTAATGTGCAAATACAGTAAACAAGCCGGGGAGATCACTACGTTGACGATTAATCTCGTGCACTCGAAGAGGAAAGGAATCTTCATACACATAAAAGAGATGCCCAACGACCTGATAAGTCTTCGAAGTCGAAGAAGCTTTCTGACGTTTCGCCTGTACTGAAGAGCTTTGGTCGATTGATGAGACAACAATCTGAGGAAAATCGATTCAAGATTCGCTTGGACGGCGAGCAACTTGACAGGAGACCTCTCTCAGGATCACGGAATGTCAACATTGTAAGAGGCAGGTTGACACCTGGTCTAGGAGGATTAAACGCAACAATTTCCAGCCCAGGGCTCGGTTGTTTGGAATAATCAGAGAAATCGAGACTTACTGTCATCATGAAGTTGCTGGAGAATACGCGCTTCGAAGCTTTAAACAGTGCCTTGTCAATCAAGACCGGAGATAGCAAGATAATTGCGAGGTAAGCTCAACAGCTTTCTTATCTTGAATCAATTTTGATGGTATCTACAATACAATTTTTATTGTTGCAGGATTGAAAGTTACTCTTGCAAAATGGCAGGCAATGATAAACAGATGTACAAACGATTTAACTCGGAGGAGGGAGTCACTCCGCATGATTTGCAAGCTTTATCACCGCCGCAGACATTTCTGGGTACCTCTCCAGCTCAGGGATACTTGAGGTATCTTCCAAATATATCTCTGCCTGTCATAAATCTCAAACAAAACAGAAAGTTACAATATTCTGTTTAATCAATATGATAACTTACTCTGAACTATGTTTGCTTTTGAATAAAACCACATCATGCATTGTACGATTTAGTCTCATTGATACAATGTTTTTTTTACAGTCGTAGCGTCTCCGGCGACGAAGAGGGAGCAATTGCGCTGTGTGATACTATCAACAGAAGAACATTGTTTTATTTGACCACTACGTTAAATTCAACTTTCAATCAAGATTACGATTTCTCAGATGCCAAAAGCGAAGAGTTTAGCAAAGAACCGAGTTTGCAGTGCGTAAAGAACGCGGTACAAAGCAATCTCAGCGCCACTGCGAATGATCATTATCGGGAATTGCATGATTCTCTTTGGACGGCTATCGATGAAGAGATAGTGTTGAAGGAATGTGATATCTATAGGTAAACATTCGATGATTGCTTTACTGTATAAGATTGTGATCTGCAATAAATTATTTATATAAGATAGATTATATGAAACATGTAAAATAATTAAATGAGAGTATACTAAAAAAGAATTCATTTTGCAGTTATAATCCAGATTTTGCATCGGATCCATTTGGAGAAGATGGATGCTTGTGGTCCTTTAATTACTTGTTCCACAATAAAAAACTAAAACGTATTGTAGTTTTCACGTGCAGGGCAGTAAAGTAAGTATATGCTCTTTTAGAAGAAAAAAAATTTCTTTTTTAACTTTGTACGCGTTTAACACATTTTTATTTTACTTCACAGCCCTCTCTATGTAACAGACTCCGGAGTTGGTAGTGACTTCGCAATGGATGAGGATGACGAGGATTGTTATTAAATCAAACATATATAAATGGTTGCAATCCATACAAGTTCATAATTTTCTTTAGACGTATAATGGCAAATGAGTACTCGTTTATTCCCAACTCTACGTAACTTTGAATCTACTACCCATTATAATTTTTGTAATAAGTTAGAACGCTTTGAAATATTGCAAGAGTTTAGAATTTCTGTAAACTTATTAATAAGTCACTTTATTGCAAAAGTTTTTAGAAGCTAAACATCATATACTTTCACATAGTTTATTAAATAATATTGATATTTAATACTTTGTAACGAAATCTCTTATGAGAAAGAATAATTTTTTTTATAAAAGATAGATAAAGATTCATATATCTCTTACATATACAAATATATATATATATATATCTCTTTATGTGAAGAAAAGATTTTATGAATTTATTAGAGCAAACTAAAGATTCTCTCTTCTGGCTCTTTGTAATGTGATTACGTTATCACTCTCGATATAATGTATTGTAAACATATATTTTGAGAACAAAATGTGTGTGCATAATAAAATCCACTGTTATATATATATATACATACATAATTGTAGCAATTTTTCAATCATAAAAAATTAAATCACCACCTGCAACTTTATGTAACAAATTTTATATATTATTTAATTTTAAAATTATTAGCTTTATTAAGAGAGTAAATACATATTCTCTTTCTCTCATTTTCTCTTCGTTTCAATCTTTTTATTGTTAATAATAAACAAAAAAAATACATTAATAATAAACAAAAGTAAGATATTGTTAATAATAAAAAAAATACATTAATACATTTTTTAAAAATTGAATTACGTGCGCAATCTTCTCGTTATAATGAGTAACATTCAGTCAAGAAAAAACTAGATCTAGTTACAAAAGACTGCGTATTTCCTTTTACAAAATAACCAAGCAATTCTCTAACTAGCTGCTAAAATTTGCTCCGTTCTCTTATCACAATTGTATATTATTCGTGTTCTAATTTGACTGCATGTATATTTATATTTCATCAGAATGTACTTTTACTGAATGTCAAGTGGCATAACACTAAACATAACGAGAAAAGGAAATTCTCCTTTAACGAAATTCTTAGGTTAAATCTATTTTGAAAGCTCAATATGTTTCGATTTCTGGTATGTCGACATATACATATATGATGACTCGTGCAGTTTTTTAAATGCATAATAATGATTTGCAGATCAGTCTGAGTATTGGAGTGTACGCCGGCATATATATAGCACAAAACTATGAGGTATGTTATGCATCTGATAAGATAAAAGGTTTATAATTGATTGCTCAACTTAATTACAATGGAATATATAAACAGCTGTCAATACATTCTTTCATGCATGTGATACAAAAATATTGATACGATAAGCACTTTTCAAAGTTGATCTTTGCTTTTGTATGCTATATAGGTACCACGCGTGGATGAGCCAGCAAAACTATATCAAAGAGCACTCGAGTTTCTAGACGATCATAAAAAGAAGCCATAGCATAGCTTGTAGTCCATTTCTCCTAAATGTAATTACTTCCAATATCAAAAGAGAAGATGTATATTATATAAACGATGTAAATGTAACTGCGATGTAATTTAACTATATCTTTCCAAGAAATATTGCTACATTTGTAAATATATATATGTATTCATATTATGTACACAAAGAGACAGCCACTTATTTTTCCATACTTTTATTTTATTTAATAAACAATATTTAAATGCGACACGCGCACAATATAACTTAGCTAAATTCACGATTGGGTTGGTAGAACGCGTATATCGAGTACTCACAACATCAACTGATTGCATCTTTCCTATCAATACATAAAACCTCCACCGGAGTATTCCACCCTCGTCTGCGGTTCCACAAACGCTAGCCAGTCGGACGCGTGTGTCGGTAATAGACCCATCGATTGACACTTGTACAAAGCTAACGCGATATTCACTAACTGTCCTAAGAAGTACACGAACTTTTGTCCGAACGCGTGCGTTCCCTCGATCACTTTGAATGCTGAGCAGAGGAAACAGAGCGAGTTTATATTGCGAGCAATGTTTCCACTATCTACAGTACCTCCACAAATTTGGAAACACCTTACATTTATAATTATACAATTATAATTATTATATATTGTATCAAGAAGAGAAAACAGGATAAAAAACAATTAACGTCTATATAGATTGATGACAAAATAAAAATGTTATTTAAATATCTTACAATTTATCAAAAAATCTGCAGATTACTGCCATGCGATTGTTTAACTGTAAAATGTAAGGTGTTTCCAAACTTGCGGAGAGTGTGTATGTATGATTTCAAGGATTACTTACTCTGCTGCAGAGTGAATAATGCCTTGACTGGCCTGATGATGAGCATCCCGACCATCATGATGGGAAAAATCGAAATTGAGCTGCCAGCCATGTACATGATGAACAGATTCATGGGCACTTGTTTAAGGGGTCCCAAGGCCAAGTCCCAGGACTTCTTTATTATGAGATGATTGGAGTCCGACTCTCTCATGTACTCCACATTGTGAAAGAGAGAACCGGTAGGCGTGTATCCTGGTGGAGATGGGATCTCCACGCTCTTATCCTGTTTTGTCCTGTAAAGAACAAAAAGTTTTAACACAGGTTCTGACTTCCTAAAATAAAACACAGATGAAGAGAGGCAGAGATTTCTACATATTTCCTCAGATGCATTTTCTGAAATACTTAAAATAATGATCTCAAGAGTTTGATGAGAGAAATTGAAAAATCATAAGAAAGTGTAAAAAAACAAAAGCTTTAACACAGGTTCTGACTTTCTAAAATAAAATAGATAAATGAAAAGAGGCAAAGACTTCTATATATTTCTTTAGATGCATTTTCTGAAATAAAAATATGCGAATGGTTAATTAATTCGTCGCTGGCGAAATATTTTTTTTTTGACACGTGTCTCTCTCAAATGTCAAATTAGGTTACATACTTGTGGGCGAAGTCTAGAGCCCATTTCGATCGCTTGGAGCCTTGCTTGGAACTCGCAGTCATCGTCATCGAGATAATTCTCGTTCCTACAAATTCGCGGATCGTCTACTCCCTGGAGGAAATAATTATGGAGGATGCGACACGACAGACGACAGATACGATGACGCGAATGATCGGCGACGTTCGAAACACAAACAGAAACCAGAAACTCCTAGTTGGCGATCGTCGCGACAACTAACGATAATTCCGTGAATTTAAAAAGCGGACGAACTATGTCAATAATATAGAATTTTCATTTATCGATAATTTATACATATATGTCAAAGCGAGAATTAAATATTTTATATATTGTTATAAAAACTAAAAAGGGTTTCGCGTGTAAAATATATAGACATTAATTGTTTAAATTGGTGTTTTTATCCTGTTTTCTCTTCTTGATACACACAATATTTAATAATTATAATTTGTGTATTATATATGCATATATATATGTATATATTACATATACATATATATATGTATAAATATTACAAAAGAAGTATATCTATTTTTATCACTTTTTTACTAAAAAAATAATTGGCATTAAAAAATAATAGGGAAGAAGTGAAACATCTGTTATAAACATAAAAATTAACATATATAAATTAGCAATTGCTGATTAATAAATTATTCCGGATAAGGAAACATTGAAGTATATATACATTTATAAGAATAGTATGTATGTCTCTAATTTTTCCGGCAGTGTGTGTATAATTTATTTTTATACATTAATATTATTTTAATACAAAATATGTACACACAGTAGTGATCGAAAGTTCAAAAACTACGAATCAAGGCTGATGGCAGTGTTTGTACCTGATACTTTTAACGACCTATCGGAACTCTTTGACAAGCGTATCCGTTCTTCTGGCTTTAGGATCTCGGCGATGATCTTCTCATCGCTGCGCCGTTCCTGCATCGACCGTGCGATCTCCTGGGACTTCTTCTTACACGGATGCGCTATATTGCACGACTCGCTGCCGGCCGAGGAGCCTTCTTCGGCGACCGAAGCCAGCTGCGCAGTTTGTATCTCAGTCAAAGTAAGTCTTCCGTTAATCTTGCCCTCCGCAGGACTGGCAGATTGCTGCCGAGGGCTAGCCTCGGAGCTAGGAACAGGTGATTTTAAAGGATTCTCCTCCGTATTAATCGGTATCTTCAGAATGTTGATTGGTTCGACGTAGAGCTGCATAATCAAATTTTAAATTGTTTTAAATAATATTACAATTGAAATTATTATTAAGTTTCTATATATAAATTGATTAAGTAGTTTGATATACAAATTGGTCAAGTTAATAGTTAAATACACAATGTTAACTATTATATGAATACGTTATAAGATAGAGAATTCTCTGTGGTGGCTGTATGACTTCATCTGAGTGTTTTCTTTTCTTTTCTAAATCTCATAGATTATGATTATATATTACACTACCGACTGTAAAATAACGCTGGTGCAGACGCTAACATCATAAGAATCACGAGTGTTGATAACAGAAGTATTTATATTGTGGAACTTACTGCGTCAAATGGCGAATCCAGAAACAATTCTTGCAAAAATCGCCGTGCTGGCATTCTGTACGTTCCGCTATTTAGGCGGGCGGCTACATCCGAAAATAAACAGGTATCCTGTGAAAAGAAAAAACATATGACACAAACTTGTATAAATTATCCATAATTAGTGTATAATTATGGAGCTGCAAATCATTACCTGAAACTTTTCAGGATACCGCTGCCTCAGTCTAAGTAACGATTGACGACTAAGACGATACCATACGGGATTCGCAAGCCGTTGAGTATGCCTAAGTATTTCTCTACATGCAACATAACAAAATAATATAGAATAAATTTTAATTTGTTCAAGCCTTTAGTTTGTATAGTCAAATTGGAAAATGTTGTTATATAATTGGGCAAACTATAACTATAATACAAATATACAATGATTGCTTTATTAATTTATTCAATTACTTATTAATTATTTGTATTAAATTATCATTTGATTTACATTTATATATTTATTCATTTATATTAATGTAGGCATATTCATTTATTAATTAGAAATGTGAAAAATTATAGCATTTTCGTAGTGATTTAATTAAATTATACACACAGAAAAGATTTTATTTTAATTTAGATAAATCGAAAATGCTACAATTTCTCAAAATTTTAATTAATAAATTGATATACAATACATGGGGCATTAATGTAAATTAACAAATCAATCAGCAATGTTCGCTATTTGTATCATCTAACTATATTTTCCAACTTCAATGTACGAGTAATTAAAAGAAAATTAAAAGATGTAGAAGATAGTTTCTCACTTTCGCAATTTAACATCCTGCTCCATACTGGCATCCTTGCCACTCTTGCCGTGATAGCAAACGAGACACGTACGACAGTGTTCGCTGTCGACGTCATACTCTGAGTTGGATTCCTCGTCGATCTCCGTTATCTCTAATTCTGATCGGACGATATCCTCGAGGATACTCGGCTGCGAGGGCTGAGGAGGCTCGGGAAAGATCGCAAGCAGCCTTCTCGGTAAGCAAATCCCCATGTAGAACATGTTCTCGTTGTCGTCCTCTGGGGGAGGTGGGGTCGGAGTAAGGACCGTGTTCTCCGCAATCCAACTGCGGGATGAATCGTACTCCGATAAGCTTTGCAACGAAAGGCGACCGTCTAAACTGTACATCTGCGAAGACGAAAACTCAATGTATTTTTGTGCATTATTCAAGAACGTTGTTAAATAATGAAGTTTAGTATTTTTCCGAAGAGGAATCTTGAGTACAATTCACATACTTCTAAACTACTTTGAGAATAACTCGGTCTACGATGACGTTGCAAACTACGTAATCGCGCGTATCCTTCAGCATCTTGTTGGCTAAGTCTTTGTATACTCGAAACCGGACTTGGAGTTTCGCCTCTTTCTCTAAAAAGACGAAAAAATGAATTAGAATTATATATGTACAATATATTATCTATATTATTTATGTATTGTTATATATTATTATTGTACAGTCCCATAATATATTAATCTATCACCCCTCGTAACTTTGCAGGGAGCAAAATGTTTCAGGCAATTAAAATTCCTATTTCTCAACATATTCTTGTAGCTCTTAAGATGAGCTACAAGAGAATATGTAATGAGAAATAGGAATTGTAATTTAACATTTTTATATTAACCTTCAAATGACCTTCAAATTTGGCCCACAAGGTCAAGATCAAGGTCACCTTCTTTGAACCCTACAACTTTTGCCTGAAACCTTTTTCTTTGCGACCGCTCTCTGCTTCAGTCACTTGAGGGGTGATAAATTAAAATGGAGCACCCTGCATACTATAATAATAAAAATGAATTGCAATGATCTACTCACGGAAGAATATATCGCCGTGCCTCGAGGTCGGTGGCCGCGCTCTCGGACCGATTCCTGGTTCGGCGCACGATCGGCTCGGGCAGTTCCGGTTTTCCATCGCTGAGGCTGCGATGATGCCGCTGCACAGGGATCGGACTCGGAACTGGATATCTAGTGGAGGGCGGCACCACGGGCCAGTTGTCGCCGCGTCGGTGTCTGACGCAGGGCCAGTTGAAACCTATCAGCGCGTCGGCGCCGGCGCGAGTGGTGCCGATCAGACTCAGAGAGTACATCGCGGTCGCCCGCACCGAGTAATAAGGACAGGTCTCCGCCATTGACGTGATCATCTCAACGATACCCAGGTGACTGAGGTGTTCGACGCCGGCGACAGAGGTGCCCGCGTGGCCGAGGGCCCACAGAGCCGACTTGACCTTGAGAATGCCGCCGTTCGGGCCGGTCAGCAGGTGATCGTCGCGCGACAACTCCACGGTCTCCATCCTCCAGCTTCGTTCCGGGGTGGTGTGCCTAGAATCGTCCATGCTGGTCTTACGACGGATCTCCATCAGCGACTCGGTCCGGGGTTGGCTCGCCGTGTCGCGGGTCAGCTCGCTCTCCAAGGTCTCGGAGTCCAGGATGGTCTCCAGGCGGCCGCACTGTTCCGCGGCCTCGTCCGTCCCGGACTCCTCCGAGACGACGCCGACGTCTTCGGAAGCCGCGGCAGCCGTGGCGGTGACGTTAACAGCTAGACGACTGGTTCTGGCGCATCGCGAGTTGGATTCCGAGTCGCGACCTCCGAACTCCAGTCTGAATCGTTGCAGCAACCGGGCGAATCGCTGAATCACGTTGCGACGTAACAGCAATTGCATCCCGAGGTCGTGCTGCGCCAGCTGGCCGATCAGATGCGGAGGTATGAAGATGTCGTGCGGCACCATCGGCACGTTAGTGGTCCTCCTCTGATAACTCCCGGTCTCGTCACGTTGCCGACGCGTCAGCGCGTCGTGTATCTCGCCTTCCACGAGGCCCACGTATCGCTCGGCGAAGCCACCAGGTCCGATCCACTTCTCGAGCTCCTCGGAGGGCGCGGCGAGGCTCGCGAAGCCTTGCTGAAGGGAGTAAAGCCGGATCTTCAGCAGGTAACCCTTGTCACCCAGATGTTGCAGCCACTTGTCCCAGTCGCGGGACGGTCCGCCTTGCTGGAGCAACACTTCCAAGTACTCCGTCTCGTTGCAGGCCTCGTGCAACGTCTCCAACGCGGCTAACGCCACAGCCGGGGAGTTGTCCGACAATCGATCCACCAGCAAGGACATCGCCCAGCGCACGGCGTCCGTCATCCTCGCGCGGAGAATCAGTCGTAGAAACTGCGTGGCGTATAAACGTGTACTCCAGGAGGACGCCTCGGAGATGATCTTGCTCAATAGCTTCCTGTTAGGACCGTCCCGAGAGTAATCCAAACTGGAGACGATCAGCTTGACGTAGCAGTCGTGATTGGTGGCTAGCGCGAGATCCTGCAGCTTCTCCAACAGGTTGAAACTCTTGAGCACTACCGTGCCCTTCGCCGAGTAGCTCAGCTGGCCGAGGAAGAGGAAGTACTTCTGGCAGCACGTGGTGGACATCTGACGCGGGGAGAATAAACAGTCGTGCGCGGACTCGGCGGTGCTAATGTGGGCGATCTGCTCGGCGACGTCGCCGATCAGCTCGTTGAGCAATCGCGCGCCCTCCGGCTCGTGCAGCTCCAGCAGGCAGTTCAACAAGTCGCAGCCGGCGAGGGTCGCCTCGCGCGCCAACGTCGCGTTCGTCCCCAGCTCGACCCTGCTGTAACCGTTCCAGGAAGGTTTGAAGTAACGCACGAGCCGCTTCATGAAGAGCCGCTGATCGGAATCGTGCAGGATTCGCGTCGCATCTTCGCGCGAGCGCAGAATCGCCCGCACTATCGGCCAGTTCCATGCGAGGGCGTCCTTCGAGCTCAGCACCTGCGCGTCCTTCAGCAACGGGGTAATCGGTGATTCGCGACCGATTCGCAGCCAGTGTCTGCCGGACGGTCGTTGACGTCGCGGCAGAGTCGGGCGTAACCAGGTGCCGGCTTGGAGGACCCGGTCGAGGAAGAGGCTCGCCGGGGTGGGTCTACGTCGCATCATCGTGTGCATTCGCTCGAGGATCGTCACCGCCGCCAACGCCTGATGCTTGCCCGCGCTAGCGTGCTCCAATAGATTCGGCAACGGCGGCGTGAGGTCGCAGAGCTCGGACGGTAGCAATGAGTGCGCGAGATGTAGCAACGCTCCCAGAAGAACCGCCGCGCGCACCGAGATGAAGGTGTCGCTGGAGACGATGGTCTCCGCGAGGGCGCGATGGAGACCGCATTCCAGGAGAACGTACACCAACAGCGCCAAGTGGATCTCCGTAATGTTGGGACAGTGCGACGACAGAGACGGCAGGATGAACTTTCCCTCGGCGGCGACGAAGCCCTCGGACAGCTTCCACGAGTCCCGGGATCGGCTGGGATCCACCGCGGCCAACGCGACATCCGGCTCGTCGGTCCACGTGGGCAGGGGCAGGTCCAGCAGCTCGTATAATAACTCCAACACGGCACCGCGCACCTCCAATTGTTCCACGTACAGGATATCCGCGATGGCCTTGAGACCGGAATTATTGTCTGGCCGGCAGAAGTGAAGGACGCCCGAGTACGAGCGAAGGATGCTGAGCAGGGCGAGTTTGCTCGCGGCGAATCTCTGCTCGCGCTCCTCCTTGGTTCTCTCCATGCTCGAGGAGTGAAGCTCGCAGTAGGGCGCGGCGAAGCATAGAAGAGACACGCTGCTGCGCGTGTCTGGGTTGTTCAGCAGCCGCAGAAGCACTCCCACGATGGATTCGACCGCGGCGGCGCTCTGGCCTGTCATCGCGGCCCTGGCCAGGGCGCCGACGCCGCCGCAGCTTATCAGTAGATTCGAGTTCAGGACACCTAATTCGCATAGGGTCGCTAGAAACGCTCGGAATATGCGGTCCCGCTCCTCTATCCCGCCGTTGGTTAAACTGACTAAAGATCTCGCTAGTGCGGGACTGAAATGCTTGGGGGCTAACAGCAGAATTCTTCTGACCAGACGAAGAGCCTGTATCCTCTCCATCTCGTTGCGCAGATTAACGTCCATGCTACGCGCCACGAAGTAAGGATACTGCAGCTTGTTGATCGCAATGACATCCTGTTCCTTCTTCAGCAGGTAACGCACCGTCCTTAGGGCGGCAGCGCGCACCTGTGTTGCTTCATGGACCAGTGCCACACGCAAGCTAAAAAAGGAGTGATTTTGGAAGAATCATTAAGAGGATAATCTTAATCCGCAACTTCTTTTCTCATGTATCGATATAATTTGTTTGCTAATTAGATATAATAGATATGTTATTAGCGATTCTCACCAACAGAACAGATCTTCCGCAGAGTATCCATAATCCTGGGAATCAGTTTCGCTAATCAATTTAACAATAGCATTAAGATACGCTAGCTTCTTTACGCTTGGAACATTGTGACGCTGGCAAAGATTTGACAGCACCTCCTTGACATTCTCCTTCAAGCCTACAAAATAAATTCATTACTCTTCCAATAATTCAGAAAATATTTTATAAGAAAAAGGTATAAAATATATCTCACAGGCAAGTAAAAATTAATAATTAAAATGATGGCATCGAGAAGAGATATTCTCTCTTTTACACGCAGACTCAGTCCTACGATGAAAACTTTATCGTACGCTCCTAAGTGCTTTCATCATTCCTCGAATTTTAAATAAAGCTGTACAAGGATTACTCTTCCAACTCTCGAATGGCAACAGATCAGTATCATTCGACGTCGTTGAAAGCTATCTGCGCATTTTTCGGGGCGGGAATCAAGGATTGCACAATATTGCGTCCACCAGGTGAGAGGTAAATAAACACAGAAGAGAGTAGACCAGCATCATCGACGGCGCTGACAGAAGCAGAAGAGGAAGAAGAGGAGGAAAGAAGAGAAGACAAGGAGGGAGAGAGAAATCCTCGATGACAGCTAGGTTAGGTTACTAACCTCTTGACAGATCGAGCTGAATGCAGTCCTCGGCATCCTGACGGTCTGCAAACAGAAAGACAGACGTGAGAAAACGTGACGATTCGCATATAATCATGTTCAACTCTTAAATTACACGCACTTCGATGAGATCGGCCGGTGCGTGAACTCCTAGCCCATATCATCCAGGCCGAGATTGCCATTGTCCAGCTGATCCTCTTCCCCCAGATCCTCTCTCTCTTCCGCCGTATATATATATATTTGTTTTTCTCTCTCTTTATCCCTTAACTGTCGTAATCGCGTCGCTCCGCCTCCCGGTGCGTACGCGACGATCCTCGCGCGTCACCACTCGCGCGTCGCGATATGTCATTCTCCGCCGCGAGCGGGAGCACCGAGCGAAGGAAGCATCAGGTATATATAGTGTCCGTCCGTCTACGAAGAATCGCGTATAATATTCGTCCCGATCCTGGTTTCCTGGAGCAGGAGTATCGCGCGAGAGACCGAGGACGAAGGAATCGCGCCTCGTCTACGGAAACGTGACAGCTCGCCGAACAGCTGATCCGCGGCCAAACGGATCCGGCGATCGCGACTCACCGGGGAAAAAACCGAGAGCGAGGACGAAAAGACGGGGATCTCTCGCCGCAATCCGATTTCGCGCTTCGCGTTTGCCCGGCTGTGGCAAACGCAAGCGATGCGAACGCGCGGCGCGCTGCGCCTGGGAATGCGGAGTGGGACTAGATGAGCGCGCGGCTCGTAGAGATGCGCGCGCATGCGCGTCGAGTTTGGCGGGATTGGACGCGCGGAGCGTCCGACCAATGAGACGACCGGTTTCGATTGAATGTTTGAATTTTAATTCATATCTTTGTGTGTTTTAATTTCGTTGTAAAAAATTAACATTGATAATAGAATAAAAAATAAAATTATAATTAATACAATAATAATTATAAAATAATTATAATTAATAAAATTTTATTAATAAAATAAAATTAAATTAATAAAATTATTATTAATTATGATTTTTACATTGAGAAACGCTTCGAAATTTTCGACATTTTACCTTCTTTTGGCCTGTGGAATATGCCTCTTTTTATTATAAATTCTGGGATACCCTGTATTGACCAATCGCAGTCAAGTGTGAGGAGAATACTCAACTGACTGGTCAATTTCTTGAATCTTAATATTACTTATGAACCGGACCAAAAATTCTGGGGAATGTGGACTAAACGAAAGGATTATTGAGAATCAGCCTATTGGGGTATTTTATCTTCCTCTTCTATTGTTTATTGTATAAAAATTCAGGATTGTGTTGTTTATTCGGAATATTCAGAAACCACGTTTTTCATTTTTCTGAAGAAGAAGAAAGCCACGTTTAGCATTTTGAGTGAGTTTCTCAGCTAAAATGTCTAAGCAGCAACAACAGAAAAAACAAAATAAGCTGATAAGAAATTGATAAATTGATATAATAACATTGTTGCAATAAAAATAAAGAAGTATTTGTAGTGTGCGTGCAAAATTTCTTCTAAAATATATTAATCTGTGTGTGTACGCACTTATATAAACTGCATCATCTGTAAGTAAAATGTTTCTTTCTTCTAGACATTTATCATTTTTTCGAAAAATCGGGTAGTTTTTTTATTCGTGTGAGATATAATGTTTATATTAAAACAATATATATGAAAAATATTCTTTTTTTTAACAAATTCTGTCATGAAAATTATTTTATCTTATTTTTTTGAGTCTTTAAAATTAATATCAAATTTTTTAATTGTTTTCAAGTGAGCATTACAAAAAAAACATAGTGTTTACATCAAAACAATCTTAACAGCACAACATTTCCCAAAGACATTCAAAGTATATCTGGAGAACATTCGAACATTCTCGGAATATCTTTCGGGTATGTGTGTTGTTAGGAAATATAATAATTTTTATAACCATTCCAAAAAAAAATAATGAAAAATTATGCATTAAACTACGCTTTAGAATATAATTAATATTAAATAATACAATTATTGTAAAAGATTAATGAGTAAAGATATTATTTAGAATTTTTACACATTATTCAAAAAATATTTGAAATAATATATAAATAAATATATAAAAATTTGTTTTATGAAATTTTTTTATGATATACTTAATTTGTCTAAGACTATTATTAAACATAAATTTTATTTGCAGCATTAATCAAGATGTCCGCCATTGTTAAAGATCATATTGTCCATTGTAAAACACAATTAACAGAAGAAACATTTTATTATACATGGAGCATTGAAAATTTGTTGAAATTTTATGAATTTGGTAGAGAATTATCTACTATCACAGGAAATAATGATCTTATATTACATATGCAACCTGATCTTGAGCAGGGAACGTTGGAATTTTATCTCACAATTCCCAATTTTTCAAGTATTTCCAAACGATTTAACGGGTCCTATCTTCAAATTTTTTATTCTGTTATTTTAAATACTATTAATGGAAAAATTTGTGAAATTAAACATAAGAAATTTTCAATGTGCCGAAAAGATAAAATATTATTGTATAAAAAATCTAGTTCATATTTTATTGAAAATGAAACAAAATATTTACCTAATGGGACACTTTCAATATCGTTTGAATTCCATATGTTTGCTAGCATGATTTTCAATAGTGTGAAATATTCATTTGAGCCACTTATTCCAACAAATGCAAATATTTTTGGCTCTACTGAAGAATCCAATTTATTTGTTACATTAATAATAGATGAAAAACACGCTTTTCAAGTAAATAAATCTTTACTTTGTTCAAAAAGTAAAGTATTTAAAGCTATGTTTGACTCTGGTCTACAAGAAAGCCAAACTAATGAAGTACATATATTTGATATGAGACATGACATCCTGGAGAAATTATTATTATTTTTAAAAACTGGTTATTTATCTGAAAAGCCAGAAGAGATTAATATAAATGTAATACATGAACTCTTTATAACAGCTAATAAATATGAGATAAATGATCTTAAATTAAAATGCGAAGGACATTTAATTAGGACTATAACAATAGAGAACGTTGTAGAATATTTAAAGATTGCACTTTTACATAATGGAACAATTTTGCAGACATGTGCCAAAAATTTTATCAAATTATATTTACAAAATATTGTGAATACCCCAGCTTTTATAGCTTTAATGAAAGAATATCCTAAGTTGATGGATCAGATTGAAAATATTTCACTATTTTGTCAGACCTTTTGTTATATCTGTAAGCCAAATGTCTTATAATTTAATAATGTAAAATGTTATATGGAATTTAAAATGTTATATATGGAAATCTTATGAATTAAAATTAAAATATATAAAATTTAATTATATGTATTTATAGAAAGTTTACAATTTAATGATTATGTAAAATAAATTTTTTTAATTCACATTATAATAATATATGGTTTATTTAGTTTAGCATATTTTTGGTACTAAAATATAAAGTTTTTATAATAAAAATCGTTTTAAGTTTTACTTTAGAAAGATGCAGTACAAATTGGAAAAAAATACACATTTTATGATTATACAAAATAAATAATCTTTTTAAATTACAATAATACATGGTAATTATTTAGTTTAGTTTATTTCTGATACTAATATATAGTTTTTGAAGTAAAAGCTGTCTTATACGTTTTGCTTTAAACAGATATAACGCAAACATAGCAAAAAGTATCTATTAATAGATTCCTCATTATTCTATTCTTTTTCAATACTACTGATGGAAAAATTTGCAAAATACAGGGTGCGTCATGTTTAATATCCCAAGAAAGTGAAACATTGTATGTGAGGTATCTATTTCATATCTTAATAAAAATAAAACTAGTTTTATGACACATATCCTGTATTTTGCAAATTTTTTCACCAGTAGTATTAAAAAAATAGAATAATTATTGTTGAGAGTATATAAATCATCTTCTGTAATATAAGTATTTATAGGATGAGACACAATACATTCCGAATTCCATACTCTTAGTTGCGTGACTAACACTAGTATAAACCATTCATTCAAGCTATCTCAAACAGACACATATATTTTTAATCCTACTGATATACTACCTAATTCATTTGTTACATTAGAAATAAATAAAAAACAAAAGTTTCAAGTAAATAAGCTTTTACTAGGTTCAAAAAGTAAAGTATTTAAAGTTATATTTGATTGTGGTTTAACAGAAAGCCAGACTAATACAGTATATATATGACGTAAGATATAATATCTTAAAAAAATTAGTACATTTTATAGAAACAGGACATTTATCTAAAAATGTAGAAGAAATAAGTATAAAAGAAATAAATATAGAAGTAATTGACATAATTTATGAACTTTTCATAGTTGCAAATAAATATGAAATAGTAGAGCTTAAATTAAAATGTGAAATATATCTTATTAAAAATATAGCTACAGAAAAAAATGTTTAATGCTAGGACTGTACATATAATGGACAACTTTTGAAAGAATTTACAACACAGTTTATTAAATTATATTATGAAAATCTTAAATAATCTAGATTGTATAGCATTAATGACAGATTTTCCTAATTTAATAGACGAGATTAAAAGTATTAAGCTCTCTCGGGAAGTACATTCATTTTATAATCAATAGAATATTTTTTAAATTTACTTTAAAAAAGTTTATTTTATTAATAAAATAATTTTTTTATTAAAAACTTTTAAAATAAATTTAAACGCTTTTATTAGGTATTTTTTACTTTATTTTTGACGATCTTTCTTAAAAAGAAAAGCTATTTTCCAAGATGAAAAATAAATTTTACGTTTTCCAATTATTTACAGAGAAAATATACTGTTTTATTTTAAATAAAATTAGGTCTCTTCGACACACAAATATTGTGTAGTCATTTTTTCTTCTGTCCATGCTGGGTTAAGTTCGAAAATCTCCATCGTCGGAACGGAATAATTCGATTGACCAATCAGGATGAAAGGAGCGAAAGTCTCTTTGTTTCAATTGGTCAGTCAAACGTACTCTACTTCGATGAAAACAATTTTCGAACCACCCCTTCGCCTCATGAGGAAAATGCTTATTCCGGTAATGAGTAGCTGATCACTTATTTGTTTATATTTATCCTGTAAAACGTGCATTCTTCGAGATGTTTCTGGTTGGGCTGACAGGCGGTATTGCTACCGGAAAGAGTTCGGTCGCTGCTATTTTTCGGGAGCACGGCATTCCTGTTATAGATGCCGATTTAATTGCACGAAAAGGTTAGAATATGCACTGCTTGACTCTGCAATTACTATTTAAAAAAAATATATATATATACATATTTTAAGCTTCTAATGACATTTTATTTTATTTTATTTTATTATTATTTTTTTTTTTTAATTCTCTTCATGAAACAATTTAATTAGTAGCATTAACAGTATTATACTTTTTTTTGTTTAATTTCATATATTTTGTTAATATAAATCATACATATTTAATAATTGTTCAAGAGATACATTTAATAGCAAAAAGCAATATATTTGTTTATATCTAATTACAGTTGTCGAACCAGGAAAGCCAGCGTGGTGCAAGATACAAAAAGAATTTGGTCCGGATGTGTTTTTGGATAACAAATACTTGGACAGAACGAAACTTGGTGATTTGATATTTAACGATGTTGAAAAGAGAAAGAAACTAAATGCCATTACGCATCCTGATATATATAAGGAGATTTACTGGCAAACCGTTAAATACTTTCTACAAGGCTATCCATTTATAGTCATGGACCTGCCATTGCTTTTTGAAACAGGACATATGTTAAATTACTTGCACAAAATTATAGTTGTTACATGGTATGTACATATTTCATCATGTCAATATTTCAAATTGAGTTGAATACGCAAAACGAATTTTGGTTTTTCTTTGTTTTTATAACTTTGAACTTTCAGCGAAGAGGAACTGCAGTTACAACGTTTAATAGAGCGCAGTGGATTTACAGAAGCTAAGGCAAAACTACGAATAGCCGCGCAAATGTCCTTGGAAAAGAAAGCAGAGATGGCAAATTTCGTAATTGAAAATTCGGGTAATATGAGCGATACTAGGGAACAAACGATAAAAGTGATTAATGTATTAAAATACTCTAAGCATCACTGGAAATTACGCTTTCTACTCGGTTTTTGTTGTACCATATTGTTGGCTGGCGCGTATTGGTTTAGGAACAGAAGCTCCAGATCTTTATCCTCTGCAATATAAAATTATTTTCCATTACAATCAATCGGTTTAAACGAATAAACGTTTGTTCCATTGTAAATTGTAGTTGCATGATAAAAGCGAGTATATGTTCAGTTAAATGTATACAGCAAGGTTGACAAAAAAAGAATAGATCAAAACATTGATTTACAAAGTGCAATCACTTATTAAATTAAGTTGGTGTTATGTACAAAGATAAATTTTTACTTGATGTATAAAAGAAAAAGTTTTCTTGTGATTATATACAAATAATTCAATTTATATACAAAGAATAACTCTTCTAGTTGTTTATGTGCTATATTTAATAAAGACAAAGAGATGTACAAAATTGTCTCATATATGCATATGAAGATATATAATGTCCAATGAAAAAAAAATTTAACATTACATCACCATGCAATCTAATGAAAAAGGAAAGAAAAATAATGCAATGTTTATAATGAAATTAAATTAACTCTGTGTTGTAAGTGTTACATCAAATTATGATGGCATGAACACTGTAAAGTGTAATCCTTTTTATCATTTATATTGAAAACGTGTGGATGGATTCATATGAATGTCTTGTGTGATTAGTCGCCGCATTTATTAAACAGAATATAAAATGTTATTCAGTGATAAATGTATAAAAAGTAAAATGGCTACGATTATAAAAATATATAATACAATAGTACAAAGAAAAACATATCCTTTTTCATATCTTCCTTTTTTATTTGATGAGAAACTGAAAATTTCAAAGTGTAACTTTATTATTTGCATACAAGTTTCGCGATTGTAAGAATACAAGAGTAAAAATCACGTTTATCTTTTCTTCTTTTTTAATAAAGTGCTTTTCAACATAAATTTATATGTAAAAGATTATTCATACATATTTGTATGCATATATAAAATACACGAGTACATAGTGCTCAATTTCTTAAATGCTAATTGTCGCAAAATATATACAAGTGTATAGAATCGTGATTATTAACGCAACTTAAAATCAGATGTGTGCCCATTTGGTTTATAACACGCATCCTTCATACATATATATATATATATATATATATATATATATATATATATACATATATATATATATATATATATACACATACACACATATATATATATGTATATATACACTTATGTATATGTATTTAATACGTTCGAATATATGGGCTAAGTATAAATTTTTCATTGCTTTTTACCTTAATATGCAAAACAGAAAAAAGCTGCTTTTTTAAGTAAATTATAGAGACTGGTAAGATAAAAACTATGTGTATAGCAATAAGTACTTAATCAATTAAAGTATTTTGTAAAAGTAATTAGCGTTTGCTTATGTATGTTAAAAGCGGAATAAAATATACTTTTCTTGCGATTAATCTAAAGAAGCAACGTTGAAATACTATGTACAGCATCATGTACAAAACATTATCGTGTACATAATATTCATTATTAATCAATACGCATAAATTATACTGAAAGATTATTTTATATAATTTATTCTATAAACAAGGAGAATAACTCGCTTGCTTTTTACGTAAGACTATTTCGTCTAAATAAATCGGACAAGAGCTCCGAAATCAGTTCTCGTCCAATAGATAAACTTTTGTTGTACTTTTAATACCGTAACACCATACTAAGGTTCTGTGAAACCAGTTGGAAGAAGTGTGATACGTAAATCTTCTCATAGAGAGATGTTTCTTTTTAATATGCTACATTTATTCTCCTTTGTACTTATGTTAACATATTAATCTAAATGAGTCATTCTCCTTATTTACACCCGCTTATTTTACAATTTTCTCGACAGTTCTTTTTTGATCTATCACTATCAATGATAGAATATCAATTTAGCTTTACACACATATAGAAAAACGAGATTAATATGAGATTATGTATAATATAATGAATAAAGAAAAAAATATATAAAGGAACATAATGTCATGATGCAACTAATTTTCGTGATTATAGATTGTCATTCCTATTCTACAACTATACACACTTTGGATATACATATTCGCCGACAGTTGTTGGCGTCGATCATTATGTTATATAATTAATCGTATATTCCTAATACTATTCACAGAGAAGGTAAAGAATATATTTTATAGCTTTCCACACGGATGTAAGATAATTATCCCACAATAAAATCTATCATGCAGACTCGAATATAATTAAAAAGCAAAGGGGTAGAATCTATTTTTAACTAAATATAATTTAATTTTCTTATTAAAAAAAAAATATATTTCAAACTAAACTAATCCGTTTTCCTTAGATTCTACATTGGCGTAAATAAGCAGAGAAGAAGTTCAGGATGAACATTACATTAATGTGAATGTTTCTATTTGCTAAATCTACGATATATCTGCATTCCACAGCCACTGATCTCTCTTTCTCTCTATCTACCATTCTCTCTTTCGACTCGCAAAAGAAATACGATTTAGTCAGAAGATGGGAGTGCGTTATATTCTTAATAGCCAAGTAGGTAGGTGGTGTGTATCATATGTCGTCATCTTGTCGAAGTACAAGTGTTCTTCCGTGACGCTGCTTACTGCAAGACAGGCCTAAGTTCTTGAGACATAATGGGATAAGAGACGAGGGGTGCTGTCGCGCCGGATATCGACAGAGGTAGGCTCGCGGGCTGCTGCGTGTTAGGTGGCTGCTGATTGGTAGCCTGGGGAGGGCCGGAACCGCTCATCGTGATCGTCTGCTGAGCCATGGTGACGATTGGAGGCGGTATCGAGACCGGCGCCATCGAGACTGCCGAGATCGAGACCGGTGCGACGGTCGCGATGCTTACAGGAACGGTGGCGACGCTGGCGGTGACCGTCCGGAGAGTGCCCGCGGCCACGGCCGCGTTCACCATCTGCTGGGGCGTCGGGGCTTGCGACGGCGGTACCGTGTTTGTGATCGTCACCGCAGGCACCGTCACCGCAGTCACATTTGTGGTTCGTTTGCCAGACATCCTCAACTGAGCGTTCTGATCCAGCAGAAACTCATTTGTCGCCGTCAAATCGCTGACCTGAGGAACAGAAAGCGAGAGAGTTAGAATAAAGTATAGATAAATAGAAATAAAATCAATTTTTTTATATAATATATTTTTAATTTTATATAATATATTTATAATAAATAATTTATAATATATTTATATAATATATTTTATACAATACATACTTTATATTATATATATAACAAAAGGTCTGTTCTTTGTAGCTGAACTGATTGCACTAGTTCAGAGTTTTATCTTTTTTACTCCAAATTAGAAGAAAAGAGATGAACTCTGAACTAGTGCAAGCAGTTCAGTTATAAAGAATAGATCTAAATTTCTCATACATAATATTTAAATCTGATATGTACCTGTTTCTTCAATTCATCTATTTTCTTCCTCAGCAATGCATTCTCATCTTCGAGTACGATAGCCCGTGCCTCGTTGCGATGTATCACAGGGTAATAGTAACTTGGTGTGACCTGTTGCGTGGCGTGTTGCTGGCCCACGATAGTAGAAGCGTCGAAATGAACGACCGTCTCGCCTGAGACTAGCCGCCTCTTGGCCTCCGGCGGTCCGATGTAATCGGCGGGATGTGACGTGTTGTAACCGCCGTTATTCGCCACCAAGTTGTTGTGCTGATCCTCTATTTGCCAGTGAAAACTGCACGAGAAAGAAGAAATTATTAGCATAAGAATATGTATGGCACACCGTTATTTATTAAAAAGATTTTTTTAAGCTAAAATAAAAATTCAACAATAAATTTAAACTGAAGTAGGTTTTTAGAAACCATTTTCATTAAGCCATAACGTAATAAAAATGAATAAAATTATGTCTTGATATAAAATTAATTCAGAATACACAGAGAAAGATACAGCCTAAGTATGACATGTCATTTTGGTATTTAATAAAAATTTAACTAAATTAAATCGATACTGTGTGAAAGAAAAAGATTATTATTTTGTCTAGATTCATCAAAAATAACTATCATATAATTAAAATGATGCCTAAAATTTTAATTTTAAATTTATTTTATGTTATAACATAAATTCAAAATTATATAATATTTTATCCATACAATAATTTTAATTCTACGTTTTTAATTATATCATAGCAATTCGAATGAATTATAAATATGTCTAGACATAATAATTTCTTTTCTTTCTCAGTATCAATTCAATTTTTATGACTATATCAAATAGTAAAAAATGACACGCCATAAATATGCGAACGATGAGGAAAACGTAAAATTTAAATTTAAGAGGCAGAAAAAGAAGAAGCGCTCGGCTTACTTCCTGTCCTCCTCGTATCTGCGATTCTCGCCGCCGGGGCCACCACCGTTGCTTGTGCCGTTGAAGTTGTGCTGCGGCCTGGACGCGTTGTGATGCGAGGGCGAGATGAGATTGTGCTGCGGCTCCTCCTTCTTCCAATGCTTGAACTTGCAGTTGACCCTCTGGCAGCTGCCCTTGAGGAAGTCCTTGCACAGAGGATAGTCCGACTTGTCGCCGTTACTGATCTTGGATCTGTTGAGGACGTGGGGCGGCAGCTCGCCGGTCGCCCGGAAACGCTTCTCCTCGCTTTCAGTGCAGTGGAGAAACTTGCAACCGGGCCAGTTGCACATGCCGTTCTGGTAATCGTGGCAAAAAGTGTACTCCTCCACGGGGTCGTCGTCGGAACGCTCGTGCAGGTACTTGCAGCGTCTCCCGCGATGACACACGTTCCTCAGGAAGTCCCGGCAGATGCGATTCGCGATATCCGGAGCGGAGTTGTCCGTCGTGTTCGCGTTTAATCCGCCCGCCATCTCGATGGTCATCTGCTGCTGCTGATGACCCACCGAGCCGTCCAACTTTTTCTTTAGCTTTTTCATCGATGATGCATAGCGGTCGTCGTCGTATCCTCGATCGATCCACGGAACTGGCTGAGCACCACTAATATGTGGACCCTAAACAAAGGAGAAAAAAAAGAGATATATAATACGGTGATTTAAAAATACATCATTAGCATATGCAGAGTATTCCATTTTAATGTCCCACTCCAAATAACTTTTGTATTTTTGATTGTACAATAGAAGAAAATGTTTCAGATCAAAGTTGCATGGCTTCGAGGGGGACATAAGATGGTGCCAATATAGTTTAACCTTGATAGTTGCTTCAAAGTCACGTGAAGGTCATCAATTTCTTAAATGGAATCACCTATTTTTCATTGCATATCCAAAATCCTATAATAAAATATTTTTTGGGGTGGGATATTAAAATGGGACACTGTTTATATCCTGAAAGAGAAGCCGTACCGTTTTTCTTTAATTCTCGCTCAGCGACAGATTCTCTCTTCTGCATCTTGCGTACTTACAAAATTGCTAGAGTTAAGCTGTTAATTGCTCAATAATTTACTTTCAACTCGCGTAAACGCGCTTCCTCCATTAGATCACTCTAAGCTGAAATACTTAAGACGCTGTATGGGGTATCGTGTGAGAATAACGAGGCGAGATTTTTCTCAATTTGCTTGAATTAAGTTAACTTTTATCTTTATTTTCCCTTTTTCGTATAATACGACTATTACATCGGTAGTAAGATTATATCAACATTACTATGTACAGCATTTGTTTTATTTATTTATACCATATTTACTTTGATAAATCCGTGATACATAATATAATGCGTCAAGGAAGTTAAGATCGAGCCTAACGAGCGAGCGAGCGACCGGAGCTCGCAACTTTCTTGAAAAAATATTAATAAAAAATGCGTATCACGTAGATCACTGATGTGACGTGCGATTTTTCTTTTTATTTCCTTATTTAATACGTTTAAAGAGATAGCCGCTGCGAGCTGATGGCACACTCTCTACAACTAAATTAACGAATTTAAGAAAATATTGTGAATTTGTATTTTTTTGTCTTTTGCGCGTTCGTATCAAAAGAATCGATTTAGAAAACTACGATTATCGCGGAATTTTCTCGCCTTAAAACGCAGGTGATGATATCAAGGCCATCCCTCAAGATAGAATCGATAGAGAACGGTCTACTATGAATGCGGAGTTTTTTTTTCTTTTCTTTTCGAGAGAAGTAAACGCACTCGCTTATCGTTTATTTATTAGGTCGCTCGAACAGATATGCTTTTGTATTGTCAACGCTACCCATTTACGGAAAGGAGAAAGATATCATTGTACAATTAATAAAGTCGGATCATCCAAGATTGATAAATTTTCAGAAGAGAGAGACGTTAAATAACATATAACATACATATGTGATGCAATCAAGATTCCCTTTCTCGCTTTCTTACTAAAAAAATGTATAGATTCCCGAGATAGAAAAAAACGGAAAAAAAACCCGTATCGGACGAGTATCGACAAGAATTCCGCTTTTTTACAATTATTTTTACAAATGTATATATTGAGAAAATATTTAAATAATCGGAAAAAAATGTGTGCGCACTCGAGAGAAAGAAAATATCCTCTCGTTAAGCTCGCAGTAAACGATATACATAATCTTTAATCCTCTTTTTTTTCAATATACGCGCGCAGAGAAAAAAAAACGCATTTTATAAACAAAAACGAATCGCGAATCGGACTTGAGCCACATATTACGAGATATGATACTCGGCGCAGCTTGGCAGCATGTTGAACATTTTACGTGGTATCGTATCTACATTTTTTCCTTTTCCCCCTCTTAAACTACTACTTGTAATTTCCAGAGAGCTTCTGGGTTTTCCGATGATATACATAATTATTATCCGGCGAATAACGATGCTTCTTTCCTCCTTCCGATCTTTGATCTTGCTCCTCCTGCTCTGTAAAGCGTGGTAACGCCGATACAAAGCTCGCTTTACAAAATCCTTGCAACATCCTTGTAACGAGAGAGAAACTTCCTATATATATCCTTGTCCTTCGACTCGGACCGGGAAATTAAACAAATATATTTATATATATATATATATATATGTATGTATATATGTACAATTCTTAGCGTTTGTTCGTATAAAAAACATTCAATTGCATCGAGAATAAAATATATATATATGTATACGCATATTTCTTGTGCTAATTTAATTGATCATTATTGCCCGATGATAAACGACGACATGCGAGCTTCTTACGAAATTTTAGTTTAGCGTCCGATATTACAAAGAGACAAAACAAAATATAAAATGTAGAAAGAAGAGAAGATGAAGAGAAACGTTTGTTATAGCATCATTCCTTAATAAGAGATCCCTGAGATAAAAATGTCAAGGCTTTGATCAAAGAAACTTTGGAATTAAAATATTAACAAAACTACTGATTCTTCAGTTAAGGAAATGCTGATTCAGCTTCAGCGACAAATATTATTTTTAATTAACTCTTAATTGGTTATACAAGATGAAAAATCTTTCACTAGAATTTAAGTATGCATAATAACAAATCTGGACTGTACAGGATGTCTGACATAAAGTGTCACACCGAAAATATACAAGTAGATCTCGTTATTTGGAAATAATTTTTTCTCAACAAAAATATCGAGGAAGACCATCATTTTTTGAATGTTCACAATTTTTGCCATCACGTTTCTTTATATTATAACTAAACTTTAAATTAAAATTTTATTAAGTAAACTCTACTTGAAATTAATTGGAGAATTTTGTTAATATTTTATTTCCACAAGACTTAGTTTGCGAAAAAGTCTTTATTTTGAATCGCTTATAACTCGAAAATTATTGATGCCTCAATATTTTTGCTGAGGAAAAATTGTCTCCAAATAACAAGATATACTTGTATATTTTCGGTGTGACCCTGTATATATATATAAAAAGAACCAAGAAAGTTAAATAATTAGTTTTCTTATCCTTTAGGTTGACCTAATGCAAATAAAAATAATATTTATCGATGAACCACAAACATCCCCTTAACTTGAACTTAAATTGATATAATTTTAACTTAGCTTAGTTATAAATATACGATATGGTGCAAAAAAAAAACGATGACACTCTTTGACATTTTCGAGAAAAAATAACCCGGAATATCCCATTAACGAGTGATGCGGTAACCTTTGTACACCCGGTATACGCAATATGAGAAAAAAAAATATTGGAGAGAGAGATGAAGGCTGGTATTCACAGGCCGATCTTATATTTAAGATGCGCAATCATCTGATTGGTTGAATGGGATCTTAAATCAACTCTCGACCGGACTGAAAACTCAAATATAAGATCGGATTCGGGCGAAGAGTGTCTAGAACGCGAGATTAGAATATCTTCTCCAGCAGCAGCCACACCAGCACGAGCGCGATAGGCGCCACGTAGTGTATCGGGACGTTGTAAGTCGCGTTCAACAGATCACCGCACTGCGCCTTCAAGGACATGTACTTCCTGGACAGCTCTGCCTTCTCCTCGACGAACGCGTTGTACTTCTCCTTCACTATTACCAGCTCCTCATTGACCTCCTGCATCCGCTGGGCCTCGTTCTTCGCGCGATAATACAGCTCCCGCAATTTGTCAACGACAATCTCGTTCGGCTCCCGGGCGAGCCAGTCCTTCAGCTCCTCCATCTCCCTCTTCACCGTCCGCTGCGCCTCGTAGCTGTCCTCGCCTCTTAACGAGTCTAAAGAGCCAATTAACGTCTGCAACACGTAGTCCCTGCTGGACTGGTGAGCCTGCTGGTGCTGCATCGCCGCGTCGTTCTTGAGTACAGGCTTCAAGGTCTTGATGTAATCCCCCTCTACGCGCTCCTCGTTTCCTTTCGCCGCCTCCTCGTCGTCTCCTTCTCGCCGGTGATCCTTATCCTCGTCATCATACATCGACGTCCCGTCGACGATGCTGACGTCGTCCTCGGTCGCTGATGTTTTGACGTCGTCGTTGTCTTTGGCAATTTGTTCCGTTGGCACCACCGACTGCTGATTGTCCTCGACGTCGGCGAATCGAACCTCCGGCTTGTCCTGCTTTATGTCAGTTTCCAGCTCCGACCAGAGAGCGTCCACTTTCTCCGTGTTATTCTCTATGACGGACTTCTCGCTCGCGTCGTCGTTCGTAATACTGCACGTGTCGTCGGTCGCCTCCGAGTTTGTGTCCGAGTCGCCGTTGGTGTCCAGATTGCCCAGGTTCCCGTTGACCAAGGTCCTTCTGGACGACGGCGGTGGCAGGATGTACTCCGTGAGACTGTCGTCGGTCGTTGTCTGCAGGTCGTCCAGCTGATCTTTGGTGAACGACAAGTCGGAGGACTTTAGTTGCTTGCATTGACCTTGGAAGATACGTCGGATGTCGACTCTATCCGCGTCCGGCGAATTGATTTGATTATCCTGCTCGCTCTTGGATAAATAAAGATTAATATCGCTGTCTATGAGATTGATGTCGATGTTGTCGACGTGAATGGAATTCAATTTGTTAAGAATAGTATTGATAGCCTCTATAGGATCCTCGTTGGACTTGGAATCGAAATTCTCGCCCACATCCAGCTTCAAATTCATATCCTGCAGAGTCTGCGTGTAATTCCTCAAGGCGGTGATCTGCTTGTAAATATTCACCGAGTCCAATCGAGAATCGCGCAATCTCACCCGTAGATACTTCTCGACCCTGGACTGATCCTCGAGGCGTTTCCCGAGGTCTCGTTTCTCCTGCTCCGCGCTCATCAGCATATCCTTCATCTTCTCCTCGTTCTCCAGAAGCTTAATGGTGGTCTCCTGCAACTTCTTCTGAGTCTCCGCGTATTTCGCGCTGAGTTCCTGAAGTTCCGTCTGAGTATACTTGGCCACGTTGTGTAAACTTTGACATTCCTCCTCCGTCTCGTTCAGACGTCCCTCCAATTGCACCAGTCTCTGAGTGACCTCGAGCTTCTCCTGCAGTATCTTCTGCAACGCTTCCTTGGCGGCATTCTGATACTGCGCCTTTTCGTCCTGAAGCTTCGCCAGTTCGTTCCTAATCTTGTCCTCGGTATAGTTCTTTGAGTAAACCGCCAACTGACTTTCCACAGTCATCACCCAGGACAGCAGACGGTCCTCTGTAATCAGTGCCTTCCACGACTGATTGGCAGCCTTACGAGTATTCTCCACCAGCTGTTGCAGATACCCCAGTTTGGAATAGAGAGCCTTCTCTCGTCTCGAGGCTTCTTGCATCACTTGATTAAGCTTATAAAGGTCTTCGAGGGACACATTCCCAGCAGGCAAGCTGACAGAGGTGCTGAGACTGGCTTTGGCCTCTTTCCCATCAGGCAGATACAGCTTTAAAGTAGCGACTATACATCCATGGGTAACTTTCTTTGTACTTTCCACAACGTCCACTCCAAATTGCACTATGTCCCCGGAGCAAACCTCCTTGGGCGTCGACTCAAGTCCTGATGCGCTGAGTCTCTGATTATTGACAAACGTACCATTGCTGCTGCACGTGTCTTGCAGGTAAAACTTCCCAGAGGAGTACCAGAGCAATGCGTGATTCCTAGAGAGTACTTTGCAGTCGAAGATTGCATTATTCGGCGCGGCTCTTGCTCTGGCTACCGAACGACCGATCTTGACAGGTTGATCCAGAGTCAGAGTACGCTCCTGGAAGGGATGGGAATTGTCCCGGCAGATCAGAACACCTTTGGCAGTCATCTTGTTGTTGTTATTATTATTATTGTTGTTGTTGTTGTTCTGTGTATTGTTCTGGCTCAGGTTGGAGTTGTTCTGCTCAGCGGGCGCACTGGCATTTTGTACCCACCCTCCGCTGCTAGCTACAACCATAGCCGACGATGAAGGTAAGTATTACTCCAAGAAGCGAGAGTCCAAGGATGAGTCTTTCTCTTTGCAATCAAACCAAGGAACCCGTTGTCCGGCAGCACGGGGCAGCAGCACCGACAAAACTGAAAATTACTCCAAGATATGACACTCCCACTCTTTAAATCCTCACTTTATAAATCTCACTATCAAATATACCTGAGCCTCGAACTCGGTCACGGGGGCATCGCGACACCACGAGCCCTCGACGCCGTCTTCGGCATGCTTTCCTCCATTTAAATAATATATATATATATATATATGTATATATATAAAGATGTCACCAAGTCCTCGCGAAAGATTTACTCCGAATCCGCCCTCCTCTTCTTCTCGATCACCGAATATGCTTCGACTTGATTTTCCTCGAAGACGAGCGACGTCCTCGATGTTCCTCTCCGAGGATGATGGGCGAAGACACTCACTTACACACTTACACACTCTCGAGAGAGAGAGAGAGAGAGAGAGAACGTGGTTACGCTGTCGCGTAATCTCGCCCGTGGCGTTTCTTCATCCGCGCCAGCTGTTCGTGCGGCCCCGGGGTGCGGCGCCTACGGGGACGACGCGCCGCGCGTGGAACGAGCGGCAGGAAGCGCGAGCTCGCGGAAACGACGCTCTCCGGCTCTCTCGGGCGATCGGGGACGAGGAATTTCCGCGCACGAACGACGTATGGCCCCCGTGAAAATACAACGGTTCGCGTTCCTCCGTCCGCACTCTGTCTCCCCAGTTCCGCGTTCCGCTGTTTTCGGGAGGCGCCCGTGACGCGAGGGAGAGAGAGAGAGAGGGAATGCCGCGAAAAAAGACCTACCTTACCGACACCTCGAGCACAGGACGTAAATATACCGAAGAGAGAGTTCGGAGTAAAAAGATAAAATAGCGAGAAAATTTTTGCTGTAGCGTTATATCAAATTTAATATATAAATTGTGTATCTGTCAAAATAGTCATCTGTCAAAGAGTTGGCAAATATTAGTGAAATTGACTGTGCAGGTGTAAATAGGAATTTAATATTTACAATGTATGTTATTTTTTTAATGATATAAGATATCATTAAATTGAAATTTGAATGATAATGATTATATGAAAATATGTGTGAAAATTAATGACACTTGAAATTTAGTATATATATATATATATAAAATATATTAGTGGAATATACAAGCGAAATGACAAGATAGCTTGTCAACTTGAAATATAACCTAACAAAATATAATAAATGTAATATCACATATAGAATATTCATTATTTAAAAAAAGGATTATTTCTCTGTAATTATACACTAAATTATTGTAAACTGTTATCAATAATGTTTTAAAATATTCTCTGAAATATTGACACTTAAAATGATAATTGTTTACATTCCATACTACAAGTAGAATTGTAGTCTTATAATCTTACTAAAAATCTATTATTTCTATTTTCAGTGTTTTAAAGTATTACTAGTGTTCTTCGATCAAGTATTAATTCCATTAAGAAAAATGTCAGACGATGAGGACTATATGTCTGATAAATTTTTACAAGGTTCCGAGAAGCCTTCTTCATCGAGTCTTATATACACACGTTCTGACAGAAGAGAATTTGCATTATTGAAAAAGAAAATCGAAATGAAGGAGCAAAATAAATCGATACGAGTAGTTGAAGCAGAAAAAAGGGAGGAAGGCTTATCATCTGCTATTACTAGTACAAATAAAGGTCTGTATAAAAGTCTATATTTTGCGTACATATTATATGGATATATATTGTATTATATAATTATTATACGTATTATACATTAAAGCAAACATGCATTTGATGCAATAAAAATATTTTTAGAGATAACTTTTGTATTGTGATATGTGATATTTATATGTAAAATATTTTTATTTATATTTCTTGTCTCTCCCTCAGGTTTTGGAATGCTTATGAAGATGGGATATAAACCTGGTCAAGGCATAGGCAAGTCTCAGTCGGGAATAGTTGAACCAATTCCAGTAGAAGTTAAAGCAGGCAGACAGGGCCTAGGCAAGGCAATAAGAAAAAAGGATGATCGCAAGAGCACGAGTGTAAAATTGGAAAATATGAATATGAGAGACTTTCGTAGCAGATTAGCGCAAGAAAAAACTGAACAATTACAAAAGGTGGATGTATACAAGAGTCAAAAAGTATGTCAAGAATTGGATACTAATGCAAATGTGAAAGCTCAAGAATCGTGGTTTTGGCCAGAAACGAGGGAAGAAAAAGAAACCGACGACAGTGAAGATAGCGATGAAAGTGACGAGGAATCACAACTCAGCAATTTAGAAAAACTTGAAATTCTTACTAAATATTTAAGAAAGACATACTTTTACTGCATTTGGTGCGGTGTGAAGTTCAACGATGAAGACGATTTAAGAGACAGCTGTCCAGGAAGTACAAGAAACGATCATTGAATATATATAATAGTTTGATCAGTAGCACTATCTTTAAAATAAACATTGACAAAAATTAATATCAATAAAAGCATTCCTTCATCTGAGCAATTATTTTCTAGAGCGTAAAAGAATTTTAGATAAATTACGTTAAATGTGGTCAATTTACTGAGACATATACGAGACATAAAAAAGCCATTAACCGTACGATGCAAAATATTGAAAAAATAATGTCTCGGGCGAGAGAAAAGTATCGGCCAACCCTAAAAGCAGAAGGGAGTCGTTACCTCCTTCAACTTTCCGACTGAAGTATACTATTAAGACAGCGGGGGCTCCGTCTGTGATCCCTGCCTCTAACATACACGCACACCGGGAAGTGGGAAATTACCTATAAAAGCATCTGTTTCATTTCGTTCTCTCTCATTTCACCCGGAAACCTTTACGGCGAGTCTCTTTACCGGATTTGCATCTGACAAAGCGATATTATATAATGTTGTTAAGCCCAAAGTCCTTATTAATTCTCGTGATTTATGCTGCGATCAACCATGCCGAGATAACTGAAATAACTGACGACGAGAGCTGCGAGACTCTGCAGTCAGAAGTGCGGATTAATAAGGACGAATACGACGAGATAGGACGTCTGAGGAGATCGTGTAGCGGGGATGTATCGGTCACCAAATGCGAAGGATTTTGTAATTCGCAAGTACAGCCAAGCGTTGTCACCACTACGGGCTTTTCAAAAGTAAGTCGCAAAGAAAAGAAAAGACATAAGATGTATCATATATTAGATTAAATTGTAATCATTTTTTTTGTAAACGCCTAGGAGTGCTACTGCTGTCGGGAGAGTTTCTTGAAGGAAAGACTAGTCGTCCTGAATCAATGTTACGACGCGGAGGGGATCAAATTAATAGGCACAGAAGACGAGATCATGGAAATCAAGATACGAGAACCTGCTGAATGTAAATGCATCAAGTGCGGCGATCTCGCGAGATAAAAGTGGCATCACAATTGGAAATATTATACATTCTGCGAAAATTCAGATTACAATTATTATGTAACAATTACATCGATAGATAGATAGATAAAAAATGAAGATATTGTAATCACGGTAAAGAAATAAATTTTTTTCCAATACATTTGCAATGTGAGTCTATCTATAACCCAAATGTATGAAGATTATTTATTTATGTTACTATTATTTGCATGTATGCATTTTTATCTGCGACGATAACTAAAAAATTCCAAAAATTAATTTTCTTTATAAATGTATTCTTGTGGATATTAATATATATCCATATAATATATGTATCTATAGTCTATTCTTGTTATGTAATTGTTAATACTTTGAAGTAAATATAACTCATTTAAATAAAAATTTTATATACTTGTTTCGCACACACTTAAAAATTCTTTATTTACTCTTATCGGCTATTCACTATGTAATAAAATATATATTATCAAAAACAGAAACAATTCCTCATTAACAAAAATATTATTAATACACAAAAAGTTCACAAACTTTTATATCAAATTTCTAGAAAATTAATGCAAATGAACATTGTTCAATTAATCTCAGGTTAAATGCAACATTAAAATCTCGAGATTTCATTTTTAATCCAATATATTTAATGTTAAAATTTTTGAAATATTATTGAAAAAGATAAAATTTAATTAGATTTCAATCACAGAAAATATTGTTTCTATTTTTGACAAGAAACTTTTATCTGCAAGATTCTTTACATGCACATTATAAGAAAGAATCAGTTTCATTAGATTGTATAAAATTGTTGAAATTTTTTCCGAAGTTGATTTCACATCAAACTTTAAATTTGCAAAATTTTTAATATCATGGTAACTTAATCCTAAACAAGAAAGTTTGTTGTAGTAAAGTCTAATTAAAATATATCAAAGAACGAAAAGATGCTACTCTATTTTTTCTCAAATTAAATATGCAAAATGTCTTATATTTGATTGTTTATAAATCACAAGCAATTAATTAATTATCTTGCTATAAAAATTGAATTCATAAATTATGAAAAATAAAATTATGTTAAATATTCTATCATAAATAAAAATAAATTTAATTTTGTTGAAAAGTTTTATATTTGTGCCTCATCAATAAAAAGAAATAATATTGTTGTATAAATTAATATGTATATGATCAAAATAATTTAATTTGTAAAGAATTATTTTTCTTAATTATATTGTAAGATGTTTTAATATAATTGTAAAATATATATCAGCATAATATATACTATAGCTTTCATATAAATTTTAAATTACCACATCTACAAATACATTTAAAAATATTTTTAAGAATTGTGAGGCTATATGTTAGTGCTTATTAAATTATATCATAGAAAACGTAAAATCATATTTGCAGCATAGAATAATATATAATTATATTATTCATAATTTTTAAACAAAGTCAAGATTCAATTATTACAGCAAAAAGAGAACGAGTTCAATTGCTAAATATATGAATTCAGGAAATACGTTAACAAACATTTTCTCAGACATATTTCTTGTATATGTACATATATATATGACCTTCCAACATTGCTAAAATATAATATACCAAAAGAAGGGGGAAAACATGGCCACCTAGGGTGTATAAAAGCTTACGACCTACGACTTACAAGCACAGTAAAGTGCTAGGAAGGGAAGGCAATGTACTGTTCAAGGAGCAAGCTCTTCCATTACCTCGGTGAATAAGCTTAGCATCTTGAGAATATACTTTCAAACTAATATTCTAAGTTTGTCTCTTTCTCACACTTGTATGTCAAGTGAAATTAATAATAATACATTATAATATCTACTTACTGTGCACAGTGATCAGTGGATTGCTGATGTGCCTGTTATATGGAAGAGCAGAGGCGATTGTTGGAGTCGATGAATGCCAGGCGACCCGGGTGATACACTTCCTTGAATATCCAGGTTGTGTCCCAAAGCCGATTCCCAGTTACGCATGCAGAGGACGATGCAGCAGTTATCTGCAGGTAAGAGAAATACAATAAATTACTAAAATATATATATCTCAAATTGACAGTTTTGCAAATTATAGTAACAATGGTGCAATAGATAAAATAAGCTTCGTTCCATATTATCAACTCAATATCATTGGATAAAAATCTTAAAAATTAGATCTTAAAGTTCAGTTAATATTTGAACTCGCAAACCACGTTATTTTGTAAGTATTTTTGTACGCGACATAAAAACGTATTATAAATTTTAACGACTATCACGTGATCATCACAAAAACGCGTAAATATACAAAATATATACACTTTTTTCCCCTTTCTTAAGATTATAAAGAAAAATCATTGCGAATTGATATAACATAATAAACTGTCTAAAATATTAACGTTTGACATTTGATCAGAATCCGTATCTCTTTCTCTTTCTCTTTCTCTTTCTCTTTCTCTCTCTCTCCTCTCCTTTCTTCTCGCTTTCTCTCATTTAATGCAACGAAATAAATAAATAACGCGCGAGGAGAGAGAACGCGGTGTAAAATAAAACAAAATGTATATATCGCGTACGATACTCAGTATTCGATTTGTTGACACGCACAGGTGTCCGGGTCCAAGATGTGGCAAATGGAGAGAAGCTGCATGTGTTGTCAGGAGAGCGGCGAGAGAGAGGCTAGTGTGTCCCTGTTCTGTCCGAGGGCGAAGCCAGGGGAGAAGAAGTTCAGGAAGGTGAGCGGTTCTCCCTCGCGAGAGTTCCCTCGCACTCGCCGAACGAGAGATCCGGTCGCGGTTCGGCGATTAGCGTGAAAAAACAACAGCGTGTAAACGAGAACGCGATCACTCGCTTCTCCACCGACCGTTCGAAGCCAGCAGCGAAGCCTTCCGCGACAACCGCAAGTCTCGCGCGGCCATGTTGTTTTCGTATCGCGAGCCACCCTCGGCCAATCAGCGAGCAGGACGCGGACGCGGAACGCGGACCGCGAGATAGGCGTCGAATTCAAAATGGAGAAACCTCATCCTCTTCCTTATTTGTTTATTCAGAAATCATTAATTTAATTTTCTCATTTTAATTTTTTGAAATTTTTTAAATTTTACTTGTCATATCAATTATTTATTATTTTATCTTATTATTTTATTATAGTCTTATTGTTTTTTAATTATACCAGAATATTACAAAGCACGACATTTCTTTATGATGTCTACATATGTTTTTGTCAAGGTATAAATTATATATAATTATATATAAAATTAAAATTTATTGATAAATGTAAATATTTATGTCGTTTTTAATTTAAGATTGCAAATTTTTTATTAAAAAATATCATTTAACTTGTGAAAATTATTTAACATTATTTAACTTAACAGTAAACAGATTTTATTTCTCATATGGATCTTTTAATACTCGAAAAATATCTGAATTAATAGGAGAATATATTTTGCAAAGAGGTAGTAGCGATAAATGTCTTTAAAATGGTCGAAAAATTATTATTTGAGTTAATAGGAAAATATAATTTGCGAAGAGGTCGCTATTAGGAGAATATATTAGCGAAGAGTTACTCGAAAATAACAGTCGGTAAATTATTACCATCGATAAGTTACCATCGTAATTACTAGATACGAAAATAGATGGCGCTATGTTATTTTCGAGAGAACTCTTCGCTAATATATTCTCCTAATAGCGACCTCTTCGCAAATTCTATTCTCCTATTAACTCAAATAACAATTTTTCAACCATTTTAAAGACATTTATCGCTACTACCTCTTTGCAAAATATATTCTCCTATTAATTCAGATAATATTTTTCGGATGATTATTATACATTATATATAATAATCATCCGAAAAATATCATCTAAATTAATAGGAGAATATATTTTGCAAAGAGGTAGTAGCGATAAATGTCTTTAAAATGGTCGAAAAATTATTTGAGTTAATAGGATAATATAATTTGCGAAGAGGTCGCTATTAGGAGAATATATTAGCGAAGAGTTACTCGAAAATAACAGTCGGTAAATTATTACCATCGATAAGTTACCATCGTAATTACTAGATACGAAAATAGATGGCGCTATGTTATTTTCGAGAGAACTCTTCGCTAATATATTCTCCTAATAGCGACCTCTTCGCAAATTCTATTCTCCTATTAACTCAAATAGTAATTTTTCGAGCATTTTAAAGACATTTATCGCTGCACTACCGCTACTATCTCTTTGCAAAATATATTCTTCTATTAATTTTCGAGCGTATTGAGACACATTAAAAAAAGAATGTAATTACTGTTTCAAAGTTTATATTGTTAATTATTGTATAAAAATATTAAATGTAAATGATATATAACAAGATAAAAACGTAAAATGGAAAAACTTGAAGATGTGAATTTTGAAAAAGTAATTCTAAGCCACGAGGCAAAGATTAAATAATTAATTAATTAAAAATAATTATTTTATTTGTTCCCTCGTTTCTCGGAATTATTGAGAATCGCGAAATGCAAATGATTTTTTTTATTTGACTTACCTTGCGAAGGCGAAATGTCAAAAAATGCATGTTTGCATCTTATTACTTTTTAATTATATTTTTTAATTTCAATTGCAATTTTGATTTAAATTTAATTAATTTCTAAAACTTATTATGATGTATAAAATTGTTATGTGAAATGATATAATTTAATAAAGTAAATGTAAAAATGCAAAGGTGTGAACCGCGAAAGCCACCCTAAGCCAAAGCAAGGAGTAAATAAATAATTAATTAATCTTGTGTTCATCAGGTGATCACCAAAGCACCACTGGACTGCATGTGCAGACCTTGTACCAGCGTGGAAGAATATGCCATAATCCCTCAAGAAATCGCAGGATTCGCCGATGAGGGTCCTTTTGCGACGTCCGCGCATTTCAGAAGATCCTCCGGCTTACAATAGATATAAAATATATCTCGTCTCTTCTTAATGAATATTGGTAAGAAAGTCCTCTGATGCTGTACGGCATATTATTTTTGTTTTATTTAAATAAAAACGCGGTCGAGACTCTACGACTTAGATTTCAAAATATATATGCATATGCATACGAAATGCTTCTTTATTTGAAAAGAAAAAATCCGAGAAACATATTCCGTATCTCTCGTTGGATTTCGTAACAAGTTACACACTTATCTGCGTTTATTACACCGTTTCATTGGCGAAATAATTAATGTCCTCGAGAGAAGATTGATAACGATTTTTGTGTGACAAAATTCTTCCTCTTTTTTTATTTATTTTTTTAATGCGATTTATAAATATGATTTATATCATAAAAGTGTACCTATGCAACATATGTCCCGAACTTTTATGCAGCATATTATATATTTATTTATATATTATGCATGTATGCAAATCTTTACCTTAGAACATATATCATTATATGTAATATATAATTTTATTATTATATATAATATATATTTTCAATATATATATTACATATATATCATTATACGTAATATATATGATTTTATTATATATAATATATATAAATTAGAATATATATTCCCCATATATAGAACATATAATTGTTTTATATTCTAAGATCTTTACGTATATACAAGCATATACATATATAATTAGATCCTAAGATACACATGCATTATTCGAGTGCGTGTGTGTAGCGATATACAGGATGTTCCATAAAGATACTCGAATTTCTTGTGACAATAGTAAAAAAAAGAGATCTCTCGAATACGATACATTTTCAGAAATCTTTGCAAAGTGAAAAAGAAGCTTAATTTTGTACCTATCTAACTAAAACATCCTGTGTACGTGCGTGTTTGCAACGCAATGCAAATTCGTGTTGTATGCACTGAGAAATATTTTTTTCCAGCGATTAATCTCCTTTAATTATTACCCACATTGAGTTTTCTTTTCAACAGTTTTGCATTTATTTTCATAAATATAAATTAGTATATTACTTCATTTAAACCTGTGGTTCACAGAATGCACCACACACACGTGTTACACACTTACTCGCGCGCAAAATCTTATATCTCTTTTGCTGCATTTGTCGCAATTTGCCACGCAAATCTCTGTATGTACTCTTCGTATGTAGCAGATTCTATAATAAATATGTATACTCGCGTATACATTCCGCATATATTTCAATCCCTCCGATCACGAGGAAAGGAAAAATCAAAACTGAGGGAAACGTCGAAATCCATCGTCGCGGTTTCGTCTTTTCTTGCAAATCCCCGATTCTTTTTATTTAGCCCGAACGAACTCTGCGGATCTGCAACGAGTGGTTTCGAAGGACTACCGCAAGAGAGAAAAAAAATAACGGAGTGGTTTTCTTTTTCTAATAAAAAGGAAGGGAGACGTTGCATATGGAGGAGACACGTCGTTACAGATAACGAGAAACACTGTAACTCGCACTCGTTTGAACCGACAGAAGAAATTATGAAACATTGCAGACTATTAATATACTTAAATAATAATATATATTTACATACAATATATATATATATATATGTATATATAGGTATGTTCCAGTAATTTCAATCAAGCTTGTATCGATCCGTCTGTAAGTTTCGTATTTCGAAAAAAAATGAGTCGAAATCGAAGATTCTGATAGATGATTTCTCTGGGGTGGGAGACCGAAGCAAGGACTCGTTCTCTCTTTCTTTCTCTGTCTCTCGATATATGTATATTTTTCGCAAGAGTATATCTCTATTATTTTTATCCATCTCTCTCTCTCTCTCTCTCTCTCAAGTGTCCGCAATATTTTTCGAATGTTTAAGTTACCCCTTTACAGGTACGATAAATCGTATATGATCGGCACTTAACAACGATAAAGATGCCGGACAAAACGTAATGTAATGTTGCTTGATTAGCTGTACACGCACACACGACATACGCGCTCTCTCGTTCAGAAATCAGACTCTCTCCTATCTAATTCGATCACGTTCGAAACAAAGGCGAGCTCACACGCTGTATCTCAAATCAGTTTAATAACAATTTTATACAATTCGCTACAGCATATATTTACCACGTGGATACATCTCCAAATGGCGCTCCGCTCTCCCTCTCGCACTCTTTTTCTCTCTCTCTCACTCTCTGTGATTATAAATAGCTAGTGTTAAAAAATAGTACCTTAATATGCACACCATTTGTAATCTTTCGTTTTTTTTTGTTTCTTTATATAACTTCATCAAAACGCGTTCTCTCTAGATTACAGATCCTAATTCCGCAATATATATCCCTTTCGCTCTATTCCATCTCGTGTTCCACGAGATTGTCCTTTCTTATAATACATTATAAGTTTCTTATTTGCAAAGATATAAATTAGTAATTTTATTCTATATGTATATATACTTTATATATGTATATATATATTATTCATATTATATATTTATATAAATACATATATTTTATATATATATATACATATATATATATATTATATATCGTATTCTCTGTTACAATAATAGGAAGAACCATGTCGCTGTCAGCATCAGACTTGGTTTATCTCGGTAGTTGCTTTTCCCTTACTTTCCACAAATTTTAATCCATTTAAAATTGACCTACTCGATTGCATAACCCGATTTGCAATTTGTTATCTAAATCGTGTAACAAGCACTTCGGTTGTGTGATCCGTGATATAGCGGATTAAATATATATTGGAAGTAACGTTGAGTCTTCCCGATTCCAAGCGTGGAAAAAAAGACGCGTATTCCGGTTCTATTGAGCGATATCGACCTACCTCGCTGCAGAGATATTTTACATAAGAAACACGATAATTATTTTTTCGAGCCATTTTTTGCTTTATTTAAACTTTGAACCATTTTATTGAATTATATATAATAATTATTTTGCATATATAGAGTTCTGTAATAATTAATAGTTAAACTTTATCTTCATTATGTATATCGCGCGTATCTCATATACAGCTGTTTGTTTTTTTCAGCACTCTCACTCTTCTTTAGTTGGTGGTAGAGTTGCAAAGAGTTATATTATATATTACATACATTTTTTTCACGTGTGTCACTTCATTGTTATTTATTATATCGTTCTTTTCTTCAATATTTAGGAAACGCGTTTCGGCGTTTACATAGTTAAAAAAAAAAAAAAAATTAAAAAACACAACTGCAATTTGATTTCGAGCGTTGTATTTTTTTTCTTTCAACGAGGAAACGCGTATTTGAGTCTTTTTAATAGACGATAGTGTAATCGATCACAGTATCGTCAACAGTCCTGATTCGCACTAGTTGATAACTCTTCGACACTAGAATTATCGTCTGGTTCTAGCAAGTCAGTGAAAAACGACGTAAGTGCGACAATTGAAACACTATGACCCTCGACATCCGCTCCTTCCGGAGTCTTTTTATGCCACGTCAGAAACGCGTCACTGGATATCACATTGTCCATCCACAATCGATTCATGATGGGGACAAGGGTGCCTGTAAATTAAAACAAGACTCATTAATTTTATACACTCTGCATGTATATACACTTTTACATAATAGAATAAAAAAATAAACTTATGTATATTTAATGCGATTACGTAGGAAAATTATTATTTATGAACACAAAATGTTAATTGATCATATATGGCGCGTATTTTTATATACGTACCGGGTGGAAATTCGATTTTCTTGATATATCTTTGAATTGCATAAAGGCATTGCAATTCTAGCAATTCGTTCGCATCTACGAATCGCTGAATCAAAGTTTGCAAACTCGCAAAAGTATCCAGGTTTAGTTTCCATGTACCATGATGTCGTTCTGCAAAAACAAATAAAAAACGTGATTTAGAGAATAATAGTTGTGCAAATTTCGAAAGCAATTGTCTTTAAAAGTTACGTCAGTATCCTTTTGGCTAAGAACAACACAAAGATAGTTCATACATATCTTTACTCTACTCTATAAAATGTATCATCATGTTTTCTTTCTCATTACTTGTAAATATTTTTAAAATAGTGTCTTATAGTATACATACCTAACGTAGTTTCTAAAATGGCAGTCATTAAATGTCTTATAAATTTGGGATCCTTATCTCTATTACCAACATTTGCCTGAAACAACAAATTGTATGCTGGAGATTGTCGACAAACAGTTATACAAAACGCGTGTACAACTTATAATGTTACTCACAGTTATCCAACTGCAAATTTCGTCGAAAGAAGTATTTTCTTTCATAAGTCTTGTAAGATTTTCCTGAACTTTCTCTAACGAGAGTTGATCGGTAGTAGCAGAGCCTTTGGCACTATTATAATCACCAGTCAGAAACTCCAAATTCTAAAAAAAAAAAATTCATCAGATATTGAAAATCATCTTTAGAGAAAGAAAAAGGAGAAAGGAATATATATGAAGATATATTTACTTATAGAAATGTTCACACAGTTAATGCAGATAAGAGAGTGATTAGTAAGACTAGAAGTTAGAAAAAAATAAAGATATTAGAAGCATGTAGGAGAAAAGTTTTGCAAGTTAAGCAGATAAGACAAAAGTTGATTTTATATTTGTGTAACAAAAAAAAGAGGTGCAAAGTAAAAGTTAAATGAAAGAGTAAACGCGAGGAAGAGAGATAGAAAAATAAATATAATATTAAACAATCTCCTTTAGATCGTCAGTCTCATACCATTATAGCATGTGCTCGTTGCATATGTACAAATTAAAGTACTATTTTGATTTTGTCTTCTGGTCTTCTTGTCTTTGTTCACTCTTGGTTAAATAATATAACGCAATAATAATCTATATAAAAATATTTTAGGAAAAGCAGGCGAGGCAGAGAAAAAGAGAAAGCGCTATTTATTGGGAGGCTTATGTGCATATATACATGCCTCAGAAAGAAATATATATTATAAATTTATATACATCAATTAGCATTTGTGTAGAAATGTTGTGCATAAACAAAAGCAATGTGTGATATGTACAAATGAATATAATTAAAGCGAGTATAAAATATATGTAAAAAAGATTATACAAAAAAAGCAAAAGTGTGTATGTATGTGTACATAATTTCGGTGGTCGTGTATGTGCGCATGTGTAAATATTAGTGTCTTTGATTATGTGTTAATCAAAGCTGATCGCAGTAATAAATAAAAAAGTAATGAATAAGGCAGTATTCAAAGATAGTATGGAAGAAGGAAAGAATATTGTGGCAAAGGAAAAGAAATATTTACATACACACATACATACACATATATACATACATACATAAAAAAATACATACACACATACATACATATAAAAAAACAAAATTTCATACACAAGTATACTATATGCATAATTGTGTTAATAACGATCACCGGCGAGGAATACTTACGTATTCCGTGGTGATCTTTTCTGCATTCTCTAATTTTGGGTTAATCAAGCTACTGAGTTTGAGTCCAGCTTGATCCCATTTGTCGGCGACCCATCTGCCTCCTTTATTGTGAGACACTTTTGTCAGAAGCTCGCCAATGAATTTTCCTACGAAGCCTTGACCCTCCAAACTTATAAATACACTCTTCATATCGTATAATGAGACAGCTTCGTCTTGGATAGGATGCGCTGCAACACAAAATTGTCATATATGTGAATCTCGGATTTTAATAATACAAGTAAACTATGATATTTCTCTAATTCAGGCCTGTTGAGCTATAATATTACCCGCACGGCAGTTTTCTATGGTATAAGATATGCATCGTCATCACGAAAGAAAATTTGTTTTTAAATATATTATCTCGCCGAGTGCGGCGAGAACAAAATTGTGCATATATTTACTTACACAATATTTCCGCTAGGTACGTCCAGATTTTCGGTATGTCAATGACCAGATCGTCAACTATTTCTAATACTTCTCCCAATCTGAAACAAAATATTTGTTTATATTTGACGAGAGTTAAAACTTGATGCGGTACAATGAAATTTCGATGTGAAAATAATCATCAGTATCCTTTTGGCAAACTAACACAAAGATATCTTCTTTAAAAGTATCTTTACTCCGTTTAATAAAATTCTCATCATTAATTAATATATGACCAATAATAAAATATACGGTGAAATTATTTTACAATAACTTTATGAATTCTTACCCGCTCTTGAAACATTCTACATGCAGAATATTTCGCCTGAGTAGATGGGATAAGAGCTTGGAAATTAATTCTCGCTCGACGGACGACTTTTCCAGAACATAATTGATGCATTCGCGCGTGAACTTGGCGAATGTTGCATTATCGAACTTTTGTTGGATTTCTAGTACCGTATTCTGTGCAGAGAAAAAAAATACGTTCGAATTACATATCAAATTTAGACATTTGAGAATAATATTCTTAAAAACATTTTCTCTCATTAATATTGTCCTCTTTTTGGTTAATTGAGTAGCGTCATATCGCAACATTACTGCAAAAAACCAAAAAGAAGGTATTGCATATTATTGCACACCAATGACTCAAGCATCTCCTAGTGAATCAGAGATGGATCTAAGGAGCGTGCATTGTTTGCATCCGCAATACCTTCGCTTTTAGAATAGATGTATCATTTTAAAGCTTTAACTTACCTCCACAATTTGTTCCTCAAAGTAGTGACTTATTATAGAGTTGTGAGCCTTTAGGAATTCCTCCTCCGACATTTGAGGCTTACGGCTAATTGCGCCAGACTCCGACGCGGATTTCAATACAGGCGGAAGCATCGATACATTTCGGCTTTGCGAGTTGTCTAATAACGAGTGACTTTCTCTACTCGGACCTGCGATACTCGGTTGATGCGTGCCGTTTCGAGAACCCCTACCATCTATAAGAAAAATATTACTCGTAAGAATTACTTTTCAAAGAGTATTTTTACGTTGTGTGATATACGTTGTATTAAAGTATTTGTGTGAGAGAGAGAGAGAGAAAGAGAAAACATACCATAAGAAGATCTGTAGTCGCGACTACTTTCCCTTGGACCTGTTGATCTCGACCTATAATAATAGATAGAAACTTATATATTGTTTGACATGCATCTAAATGTTGACTCAAAGTTTGAAAAACGTCAGAATTAATTTGCAATCATATAAGTTTTAGAAGATTCAGAAACTCTAGTCTGTAATTAAGTATCATCATATAACAAAGTATAAAATGACTGTGATATAACTTGGAGTAATGTGCAACTTACCCAGAAAGTGGTAGCGGTGGCATCTTTTTATCTTGATCCAAATTCGCCATATTGTCCAAGCAAGCAAATTTATTTGTGTTGGTTATTGTCTTGGAATTGGAATTGGACGGGATAGATCTCCATAGATAAGACGCCCTGTTGCCAAGTTGCATATCGTCCATCGGTGGCTATTTAAAAAAAAAAAAGGAACAAAAGTTGATGAAATTGATGATAACACTTTAATAGTAGAAAGCGAAAAAATAAAATATTAATTTTACAAAAGGATCTAAATTGTTATTTACCGTCTTAATTTTCAATTTGGCTGTCTCCACCGAGTATGCCACGGGTCTTACTCTTCCTACTGGTTGACTCCAACCATCGTCATTAGGTCCACCTGGTCCACCTAGTATGAAAAATGATTTGTTAATAATAATTAATAAATAATTCATTAGGATATAGTATACTGCAAAAAATGTGTTCTTAACAAAGAAAATAGATGTTATTAGCAAGACTTACGATTTCTTTTCCTGTCGCTATTACGATCATCTTTTCGTGGAGGATTTAACGAAGTGTTATTGACTTGCATATCCAGTCTCTCGGATTCCGCTTCTTTTTGAATTTCATCTATCGTTTTGGGATTGTTTTCATTTCTTCTCGGAATCCACTTGTTTGCTCTTAAATCTATAACATCTTGAAGCATAAAACGGATTCTCGAACTAATTTTGACTCCGTCTTTGCTCGGTCTATCATCTTTATTTCGGGTGACGATATCTTGCATTCGATTGAAGTATTCTTGCATTTCCTGAATAAAAAGAAATAAAATTACAGATTCAAATACAGATATATTATAGTTGAGGAATATTAAATGTTTCAATTAGATACGAATAATTAAAACAAGTATTGTTTTAGGACATTACATCAATAGCAGCAGCAGCAGCAGCAGCAGCAGCAGCAGTAGCAGCACTGGGCGGCTGCTGTGCTTTCAATTCCAAGTCTTTGCCAATTGTTGTTAACAATTTGCATAAGCACTCCAAGTTGTCCTCATCATTCTGATCTAATAAGTGACGGATACAACGATGCATGATTTTGGTAGTCAATATTTGTTGTCTATACAATTCTCCGATAAATCTGCAAAAAAAAAAAAAAAAAAAAAACAATGGATAAAATATATTTAATATGATAAACATACAAATTCACACTTAAATACCCTAAAAAAATGTCAATTACAAATGATTAAATAAAACCATTTATTTACCGAATATTTCCTACAGACTTGACGCGTACACGACGTTCTTCCTCGTCGAATTCCAAGTACAATAGTTTCTTCTTTTCCTGATAAAAATAAACGCAAGAAAACGATAATTAAGAATATCATTAGATTTATAAAAATGAAATGTTTGATTGCAGAAAGAAAAAAATTAAAAATACAAGATATACTTACAGGATCCGTACATTCGTCGATTTCCTTAAGCTTTCTTTTTCTTTCAACGTCGTCAATTGGATTTTTCTCAAACTCTTTTTGGCAACGTGTGATAATGAGCTTCTTAAAGTTGACGGAGCTATCTTGGTTATTGGCTCCCGCAACCTCCATCATACCTAGTTCTTTGCACATCAACGCATACTCCACAGAGAAGCTGGGCTCATCTACAGCCTTTTCAAAGACCAGATTGATGACTCCTTGCAGACGTTCGGGTGTATCGATCTCCAAACTCCTAACTTGTGAGACCAACGTGTTGAACTTTTGTGGAGTGAGCTTGTTCAATACACTTCGTACTTTCTTGTAGAGGGCTTCGGTCTTCGTCTCGTCCTCGGTGAGACTAGCTGCATTTAATCTCGTAGGTCTCCACGCATTTTCCGCTTCTCTGAGTTTCACGTCTTCTCTGAGCGATAAAGAAACGTGAATAACATTTGGTTTGTTTGGCTTTGGTTTGCCCCGCTCGCTCGCTCTCTTCGTTGCAGGCTGCGTAAAGAAAAAAAAAACAAAACACATCTTGTATTAATATCGGAAATTAATACTCGTAACAACTAATTCGACAAGGAGAGAAAAAACTCAATCAGGAAATATGTATTATCCGTCAAGAGATTTCGGACCACTACTTTTACTCGGCATCATTTATTAGTCCATCAATTACTTTTCTTTGCGACATATATTTTTTTTTATTCCTTAATTCAACTTACCAGTCTTCCACCAGGATTTCCGAGAGCTCCCGATTTTGCAAATCCTGGCATCAATGAGTCATGCCTCGTCATGTTTGCGTCCTTAAACGCTCTCAAGTCCACGGCGTTATGCGCATTCTGCAAAAGGATCACGTTTGATGACACACCGCATATATAAATAATTACACGCGTAACAACAATGAAATCATCATCAATCGTACACACCTGCATACTGTCCTTCAGAACGGCTTGTAAATTCGGGAGATTAGGCGGCTTGATTTTACTATTGGGCTCGAACTGGAGCCTTATTAAAAATCGCGATCGTAGATCTTCTTGCCGCTCAGATTCGCCGGACTCCACTGGTCCTTCTTATAGTCGTATCTGAGCTGCGGCTGTCTAGGTGCGGGAGCGACTTCGTTCGACGACGCGGTGCTGCCGGACGCCTTGACCTCCTGCTTCTCGGGAACGATCGGCGTCGCCGCTATCGTCGCCGCCGCCTTCTCGTCGTTGGACGCGTGAAACGCCGAGGCCTTGAAGTTCTCCTCATTCTTCTGCGCGACGAGGGGATCCAGGTCGACCAGGATCTCCAAAGGCTCCGAGTTGTCCTCGGTGAACGCGTGGTCGACAACGTCGTCGACGGCGAACGCATTCGATTTCACGTCGTCCTCCCTCTTCGGGGAGGCTTCCTTGCTGCAAGGCGGAATAACCTTGTCTACGACGTGAGGAAGCGTCTGTACAGGAAGAACGCTTTCCTTAGGCACCTCGGCGGGAGCTTGTTTCTCGGGTTTCACGACCGGGTGGACAGACAGAATCTCCTTCTTCGATTCATAATTGTCCTTCTCCTTGATATCCTTGCTAATGTCTCTGGCAGGCTCCTTATTGCTGTCTCTCGAGACGGGAACATGTTGAAGCTGCTGCTGCTGCTGTTGCTCCTTGTTGTCCTGCTTGAGCTCGGTCGTTGTCGGTACGGTATTCACGAAGGCATCCATATCCGTGCCCTCCTTCTCGGCGCCCTTGCGATTCAGCTGCTCACGTTTCGATTTATTTTTACTTTTTTGCTTCTGCATAGCTTTACCTAGAGAACAGAAAACAAACGCGTATTACAAAGGTGTAATTACATCAGAAAGAAGAGTCGCGCGCGTTATTTCAATCAACTTGGAAGAGACTAGAAAGGAAAAGAGCGAAGGGGCCAGGTTCTCCTGGACCCTAGGCCATGAGTGGCCTTGATCTCGAGATCTTCAGGTACCGTGATCTCGGGATCCTCGTCGATTACGACTCTTGGATCTCGTGCTGCTGCTAGCACGGCTGTTTCTTCGGTCGCCCATGTTTGTGCACGTGCACACCGACTCTCTTCTCACATCCTCGACGACGACGACGACGACGACAACGTCGGGATGGATGGGGCTCGAGTTTCTGTCGCTTGCGTCCGCGGCACTGATTCAGTATTTATTTATAAACCTGCCAAATCCCTGCCAAAAACGTGGCGTAGATGCGACGGCACGAAGAACGTGCAACGAAAATCGCCAATGTCCCTCCTCGGCGACGATCATCTCGTCGCCGACGAGGCGAACATATGGCGGATTCGGCCTCGAACCGAGACCCTATATTCCGTCCAGGGTACGGAACTTGCGACGATGATTATGATTATGATTATGATTATGATGATAATGATGATGATGACGATGACTATGATGATGATGACGTGATGACGACCTCCGCGAACGATTGTTCTCCGACTGAAAGACACTTCGGAAAACCCTCGGGCCTGGCTAGCCGCGACGACTTTCACGCATCTATTTTAACCTGTGAACTGGCGCAAACCGACAGGCACGACATAGGATTTCTTAAATTAGTTCTGTTCGCCGGTTAGCGCGACGGAGCAGGCGCACTGGGGCGCAATTTTAGGCGGCTCGATCTCCATAACGTGTATCTCTCTCTCTCTCTCTCTCTCTCTCTCTCTCTCTCTCTCTCTCTCTCTCTCTCTCTCTCTCTCGGGAATGAGAGGACAAAAAACGCTTTATCTCGTGGGAGACGTTGGATCGAAAAATCGGTACAATAGCAGGAATCCCTCCTTTCTTTCCTTCGCGAACGGATTTCTCTCCCAGCTGACGAAATCGGTTAATTAATTGGACGTTCACCGACCGTCTCGGATTCGATTCTCGACGCACCATCGGACGAAAGTGGATCGGAGTCGCGTGTTACAAAAGCAGGTCGAGAGACCAGCCGGTCTCTCCTCCTTCCTGGGAGGAGGAGGATCGGATCCTCCGATCGAGAAGAATCGTCGCGTCGGGATATCTCTGAAACGCGAAGAGGAACGATGACGCGCAGCGACTGCAAATTTCGAGAAAGACGATATAATTAGACGATGCCTGGCTCTGGTGGATCATCATCGTCGGGGGCTCAAAGAGTATCGCGCGAATTTAACAAAAAATTTCGCAACAACGTATCTCTTACTTTCTCTCCTTATCGATAAATAAAACAAATATATAAAATTTATATATATATATATAGAGAGAGAGAGAGAGAGATGCGATATCATTTTTTTACATTAATTACAAGCAATTATATTCGTCGGAGAAACAAGACTTTATCGACGGAATACAAAGAAGGCGAAGCGATTGACACACGCCCTCTCTTCCGGTCCGTCTTGTTAAAGAATCTCCTGCGGTATTTTATGAAGCAGTCGCCGCCGCCGCCGCCGTCGCGTTTTCCGATGACTTTTTCTAAACCGCGGAAGACTTTCACCCGCGGCTTCTCAAGGTTGTCGCTCCGTCGCAGGGACGGCGGCGGCGCCGAAAGTCTCGTGGTATTTTTTTCGGCGCACACGTACACGCCGCGTGTTCTCCTCTCGTGAAATGGCGTTGGGAGCCCGAGGAGAGGACTCCCGGCCGTGCAACGAGCGCGTGCGCACGCTGACGCGCGCACTCACGCACTCACGCACGCACAGCGGCCGTGACCCCGGCTGCGAAAAGAATTCCTTCGACCGAGCGCAACATTTCGACGATAAAACTATTTTCTGCCGATCCGCGCCTCCGAAAAAACCACATGATTTTTCGAAACGTCACCTGTCAAAAAATTCTCCATCTGTCAAAAAAAATCGTTATCTGTCAAAAAATCGCGCGCTACATATGTCGCGTAATTATTCGAGATTATTTTATTTGCAATTCAAGAAATATTTGCGAAATAAAAGTCTTGTTATATTATCGTGGGGCTGAAGGGCGAAATTTTGCTCCGAAAAATCGGAGCAAATTTTTCTCAGGATTCCCATCGACTCTTCGAAAGTGGAACCAAAGGATGATTTTTTTTCTCGCAAAGATCGATTCCTCTCGAAGGACGGTGCACCTCGGCGAGCCAATATGGTGCGGCGTTCTCTTTCGATCATTCACAAAATGGCCACACACCAACCACGCGAAAGAGCACATGTACGTCTTCCGAAAATTCAATTCCACGTACTGCTACGGAATTTTTAAACCAACGATCAATTTTACGTGAGGCATAATTTTAAGGTCACTAAAAAAATCCTACTCGAGTATTTTCTATGCGCAAAAAGGCGTGTATGATTTTATTCGCATCGCGATGCCAAGTCCACGTGGTGGGCGGAAAATTCGGACTGGATAAAGTGTTACATCTCGTCGGAGAAAACGGAGAATTTTCTTACATTTTTCATTTTTTTTCCTTTTAATAACGAAAAACCGGAAAGCGCAAAGTAGCGGAATTTGCGTGAATCTCCTCCTTTGTGGAGATTCGGGCCGAATCGCGCAATATTATCAGCGCAATATCGCCACGTAGAATTGCGCATGTAATTAACAAATCTAATGAAACAAATAAGAGAGAGATAAGAGCAAAAACGAGGCGCGCTCGTCTTGTCTCGGCTCGTTTCGCGCCGTCTCGTTGGAGACCACAAGATGTCGGGGAACCACGTTGCCAGGGAGTGCGAGATACCGACATTTTTTCGCGCACCAAATTGATAAAGAGAGATAGAGAGAGAGACAAACCTCATTAATACGTACATCTCGATCCACCGGGACGATATAGTTTCTTTCGCAGCTGATTTTCGCACCTCTTTTCTCACTGTTTCGCGTTGCTATTCACTAGACCGAAATCCATTCCTCGGAGATTTAACGAGATCAGGGACACTCTCTCTTTCTTCCTCGCGGGACGAGAAACGAGATGGAGAGGCAGGAAGGCGGACGAAAAAATGGAAGAAAAACGACGCGTGTATAGGGCGCTCGTCGCGTTAAAAAAAAATATATGTACAATTATTTTCGTGGGCGGTGATTACACAGATTTTACTTCAACACGACGTATAATAAGCGTATTCGTTACGTGGGCGTACAATATGTGTGTGATCGAGGGAAGTGAAAAAGAGGCGAATTTAAAAAAAATGTTTTAAAAATTAAAATTAATTAAAACAATATTAAAATTAATAAAAAAAACGTTAAAATAAAATTAAAATACAATTAAATTAAAAAAAAAGGAGGGAACAGAGTTGGGAGAAGAGAGCGGAGTGAAATGCGGCCGGCTAGCACAGCACGTGCTGGCTACTGAAGGCCGTCCGGTCCCCGACGACGAAGGAGAGACCGACACCGTCGTCTCACGTCATCTCCCTCACCCTTCGTTTCTTCCCGCGCGCGCGCGCGCGGCTCCTTCGTTCATTCTCGCCGACAGTCGGCCATTTTCGCGCAGTCGCGTCACCGTCTCTCGCTCCCTCTTTCGGACTCGGCTTTCTTCGCCACCTTCGGAGTTCCTACCCGGTTCTCTATCGAAGCACAAAAGGTAGAGATCTTTTGTCGTACTCGAAGTAATCCGGTAAAGGGCTCCACGTTTTTCACATACCTTCGCTTCGGATTTTTTCGACTTTCGAGGAGGAAAAAAAATTAATATAAACAATAGCGCCGAGATTTTCTCGATCTCTCGAATTGACAGATGAGATAAACAATAAATATTTCGATAAACAAAAATTGTCAGCAATGCGTTTTTGGCGGGAAAACGAGCGGAAGGATGGAGCACGTGTATCCGCGAATTAATTGAGTCGCAGAGTATCGATCGCAATTCTAAGCATTAAAATGAGCGAGTTAATAAATGTATCCTTATAAATATTTGATTGCAGCACGGGAAATTTCAGGGAACTTCGTACAAAATCGCAAGCGAGAAATGTGGAAAACAAACAATAATCTTACCCTTTTTCTTCATGTTGAGGCCCACAATTGATCGAACGCCTGGACTTGATAAGTTTCGAAAAAGTTTTGCACGTCAAAAGGGAAAAAAAAAACCACGCTAATCGAACATTCCTTTTCGAACGAAAAGAAAACTACTATACTAAATCACGAATATGAAACACTTCGATGCCGGCAAACGTTCCTCGACAACAACAACACAAGACGCTTTCTTCGGAAATTCGTCGAGCGTGAATCGACGCGGGAACGTCTACCCTCGAGTTTATTTACGTCCGAGATATTCGATGCGAGGTGGAAATCGACGATCGGCTTCGATTCGATCAACGCGCAGTGATTTAAAACACTTCGAATGGCCGTTCCGCACCACTTTGCGTCCTTGTAACGGTCGAAGGGAAAAGAAAAAAAAAAAAAGAAAAAACTCGAAGAGACAAGTGTTTTCTATCGTCAAAGTCACGAAGACACTGGCGAGGGATGACGATGAGAGCGACGCGGTACACTTCCGTAAGAGTCGCGTGTGCAGGAGCGAACGATGACACACCGAGATGCACTCGAGTAAGACTGAGCGAGGCTCCTCGTGGCTTTGGAGGTTAGACTTGAGATCAGGCTGGGTTACGTTAGGTTGGGACGCGGCGAGTCGCGCCCTCTTTCGGAAAAGCGCCGAGACGAAAAAGTTCCTAAACGATGCGCGGGAACATTTTTGCTTCTTCCGCGCACTTCCACAGAAAGAGAGAAAGACACGTGCACTGAGAAAAACGTTTGTCCACTCGACTAAACCCTTTCAACTGAATATTTTTTTTCTCATTTACACATATAAAATATTAAATACAATATACAATTGAATATCAAATACATAAAAAATATAGAACACATATAAAATTAAATATTGAATATATGAAAATATATAAAAATGCATGTGAAATTAAATTATAACAAAATGTAAGTATATTAAATACAATATACAATTGAATATTGAATATATGAAAAAATATAAAAATGCATATAAAATTAAATTATAACAAAATGTATATTTGATTATACTAATATATGTAATTAACAAGACAGTAATTTAGTTGAAAGGTTTATCAAATTAATATTTTTTATTTCAGTGTGCACGTGTCTTCGAGCAAATTCGATTGTACTCGTATACAAATTTACAATAGGATGAGTAATGTCAGTGTTCATTATTTTACTTTTTGATTATTTTTAATTTACTTTTCAAATCAATCACACATTTTATTTTTAAAGTAAAGTAATTAATACTAATTGTGTATTATTATTATAATCGTTAAATACGAATTATAATAATAACTCGCACGTATTATAATTATCCTACTGTTGATAATAATTAATCACTGTTGATATTAAATTGATAATAATTGAAATTAATTTGAAAAGTAATTTACAATTAATTAAAAAGTAAAATAATAAATACTAACATTACTCATTCTATTGTAAATTTGTATACGATAACATTAAATAAAATTCTACTGCTATCATTAGAAAACGTCCGAATGACAATTAAAAATTCGCTCCTCCGATGACTGATTATTAAAATCGATTCCACGATTTAATATCAATTTAATATTAATCGATCGAATAAGGAGGGGAAATCGTTTGTTCGGACAAACACATTTACGTGAAAATCGCGCTTATCTAAGAGAGAAAGAGAAAGAGAGACTTGGGTTTATCGCGAACGCGCAAAGTTCAAACGATCTCGAGAGGTCTCTTAGAGAAAGAGAGGGATGATGACATTCATTTTCTCTATTAATGAATAATATTTGCAGCAAACCAAACCATATGTTTACTCGATGTTGATCGATAATGCCGCGACCCGAGTGAATTTCCGGTCGCGAGAGCAAAAGAGACGAGAGGAAAGAGAGAGGAGGATGTATCCTTGAGTAAAACTCGTTCAAGGCTGCACACTCGCCGCATGGGCGTAACCCGAACATATGTATATTCACGCTTTCTTTCATCCTTCATCTCTTTCCTCTCCGGAAAATTTTCGAGTCGACAATTAAAAGATGCCAGATGATTAATTTCGCTGCATCTCGAGATTTTTTAAAATTCTCGCGTACCATTTTTTTTTTTTTAATATAAAATGATCGCTCAAATATTCAGTTCCACTGGAATGACACGAATCATTTATTTAAATTAATAATTATCAATCTCGAACGACTCGAAACATCCGGCTCTTCTACTGGAAACATGGACGTCCGCAGGATTTTTTTCCAGAGTTGTTTCTTGTTATTAATTTTCTCTTCTATTTTTCTATTATTTATCCTTTTTTATTTTTTTAAATTCAATTTTTAATTATTTTATTTCAATATTTTTCTATTAAATAAAATTGCAAATAAATCCCAGTGTTTATTCATTCCCCTGCGGACGTTCATGATTGAAGATAATAAAGTATTAGCAAAAAATACTCACCGTCCGCGGGTTTCTGCTGTATCTCATTTCTAGGGTGCGCCTCCGTTTCGGTTTTGTCACCAACCGCGTCGCCGTTCGGCTTCTGGTGATGATGGTGATGATCCGCTGCCTGGTTGTGAACGGGCGTAGGAGTGGTACCGCGAGAGCCGAGGCTCTTCTCCCTGGTCTTCCTCTCCTTTGACTCTTTGGTATTCGAAGGCAGCTCGGTGGCGTTAAGTTTCCTCCTAGGCGGCGAGTTTGACGTGGCCTTGGATAGATTAGGGAACGGCTCCCTGGTAGGAACGAGATTAGCACTCGAGGCAGTGGCGGACGGTTTCGGGAGTTCCTGGGTCGGGGTGATGTTGCTCCAATACGGAGCGATCGACGTCTGTATCGCATTGGACGCGGATACGCTGAGGCTCTTCGTGGTAGACTCAGGTCCAATGCCAGCTCCGGCGGTCGTCACGGCGACTCCGACGGTCTCGACGACGGGTTCGACGGTCTCGGCGGTCGCGGTCGCTGTTTCGGTGCTAGCGGTCGGCGCGGAAGTAAGCTGCACGGAAACAGGATCTTTATTCGCGACGGTGATCATCGGTGGAACGACGGGCGATGACGACTCCTCGATCGTCACGCTCTTCGCCGCTTCGCTCCTAGGCTGGAACTCCTTCGCGGGGAGTTGCAACGCCTTCGGATCCGTCGTCTTTGCCGTGCTGTTAGGTTCTATCTGTCCCGCATTACTACAAGTACCTAACAATTGACTACCTATCGTAGATACGGGTTTGCCGGCGCCAGCGCCGGCTTGCGTGGACAGAGACGGAGGACCGGTGTTACATTGACTATTACTGACGTCACTAGCCGAATTGTGTGCATTCGTTGCTAGTGACGCGTGCGCGGTCGTTTGAGTCGTGGGCGCCGTTTCGGGCGCGCTCGTCGATACCGAGTCCGATTCCTCGGTCGCGGCTTTCGCGACGCGAGCCGCGAAATCGGCTATCACCTCCGCACCATTATTCTGTAACAATCACCAAATCTGCGTGATAGACGGTGACACGTCGCTATTCATTCAGACATTACGCTTGACAACTAAAAACTGGCTTCCAAACTCAAATCATAGAGCGAGAGAAATCAAAACTAAAAGCACTTGGATGAACGAAACAAATGATCAAGACTTTATACATCTGTCACCCTACAGCCATAAGATCCTCGTTAGATATGTATATCGAGTAAATGAGGGGAAATAAAAAAAGAAAAAAAAATGCTTTTCATCGATATCGAGATTAAAAACCGACATCAATATGAAAAAGAATTCTGTCGTACATATATAGACATGTTGAGGCTCCTGGGCTCTTGCCGACTATGTTACAATTGTGACGTCAGAGGTGAGAAAACACACGCTAAAAATTCTTAGATGCCATTTCGCATTTCAAATAACTTTAGCACACTCTTAAAATACTTCGAAAACTAGCCTTTTCTCTTTATAATCAATCAATAGCTGTAAAATGATTGTAATATAAGTCCAGTCTCCATCTAGTCTCTGCATATGTGCAGTCATTTCATATAACAAAGTCTGATATCATGATCATTTTACAGTTGTTGATTGACTATCAAAGAAAGGATAGTTTTCGAAGTATTGTTAAAGTGTGCCATATGAAATAGTGTTTTATTGAAATGTTTTTATTTAAAAATGGCATCTAAGAATTTTCAGCATGTGCTTTCTTGCCTCTGAAGTCACAATCCAACATGATCGTTGCGAGAACCCAGGAGCCTTAAATGTCTTTGAAAAATATCTAATCGTTTCCATCTATTCAAGTATGAAAATTTCAAACAATTCACTAGAGGACATGGCTCGTGTGGGTACACAGATACAAATATAAACAATTGACTATGAGAGTTAAATTTCTAATGTACGTGAATAAGGTACAATATTACGTTGCACGTATTAGTTATTTACAGAGCACAGGCTTCATTGTATGCTAAACTCTCTTAGTCAATTGTCGATACATTTCGACGTAACTCACCTGTGGTTGTGGCGTCTCACGATTACTGGATTCACCACTCTGCGTAGTTTCGTTATCCTTATAAATCTCGTCGCTTATATTTTTGCCCGTTAATGGATTCACTATGTCCAAAATGGCGTTCTGTCCTCTAGGTTTCCGAGACCTAGTGGCACTGTTGGCGTTTGTCGCACCACCATTATGGCCCGCGTACACGTCTAAAGAATTAATATAAGAATTGACCCAAGCTGGATTATGTAAAGCATTGCCCGGGAAAAAAAAAAGAAAAAAAAAATTAGATTCATCAGATAAACACAAAGTAAAAACGTAAAATTAACATAATATAAATGATAAAAAGATATATCTATTTTAAAATATTCTACAATTACAATTCAAAACAAGATATATAATAGTAAAATATCAGTAATAGTAAATAAATAATAAAGTTTATCTGTATTAAATATTGTATTTAAAAGCAACGTACCGGGTTGCGTGAGAGGTATACCCATCGTGGACAGAGGCTGGGCTTGTTGGGTAGGTTGCTGAATTGTACCTTGTGGTACAACTGGAGCACCTTGAGCACTGGCCAGTGGATTTGCGACATGTTGCGCTCCACCACTGACCGCACTTGTATTCGGCCTCAAATTCACGTTTGACGCATAGTAATCTGTCGAAAAACGCGTTTATGTAAACATGATTGAATTTGTCTCGCTTTAACGCGTGAGAGAGAGAAATGTAAATCGTAAATATAACTTACATCCAGGCTGCGGGGCGGTCGTATAATGTCCGAACATAGGAGGTTGCGTTATAAGCTGATGAGGTGAAAACGACGGATGATAAAACGACGCGGTGTTTTGATGCGGCTGATGCCTTTGGGCATGAGGTGGACCAGAGAACTGAAAATGTAACAGAGAAGCTGTTACATTTCTAATACTTAACAAGTACATATACATGAAAAAATAACGATACCGAATAATGATGTACAATTATGTACAAAATAATAGCACCGGTTGAAAAAATGAGAGAAATTTGTATGTTTCCTCTACCATGTTTTAATTGTATATCTAGGATTAAATTTTCGTGATCTTCGAACAAACTGACGAGTACCAGAAAATCCTTTAATAATCACTTTTCGATATTGGAGGAAATATACAAATTACCTTCATTTTTTCAGCCGATGCTATTATTTTACACCCAACTGTATAATATATTAGATAGGTAAATTTTCACAATATGCGGTACCTGAAGCGGTATTTGATTATTTATGGGATACACCGACTGTTGGTGTGGTCCCGTGTGAAGCCCGTGGACTTGACTCTGACTTATATACATCGCACTGGGCTGCACTGGTAAACCATGATGCGGGTATAACGCAGGCGGTTGTCCTCCACCACCTACCCCTGTCATCCCGACTACTGGTGTTCCGCTCGCGCTCTGGCCACCTCTATGATTGATACCACGCGGTTGTTGTGGCCTTGGACCCGTTTGATAATAGCCCTATAATGCACGAACAAGTCGTTAGAACATTTTCTCCCTTCGCAGGAGTATTTATGTACAGGTAACACGACGCATACCTGAGACGTCGGTCTGTTCTGCGCCGGCACGTAAACCTGTTGTAAAGACGCCGGTTGCGTCTGCAAATGGGCTTGCTTTCCCATTTCCTGAGGTGACGGCGTGTGAACAGGCGGTGTCGTGGTAGGCGCCGGACCTTGCGGCGGTTGTGACTGCACCCCTGGTGTCGGTGCTTGCGAGGGTGCTTGTCCACCAGCTGGACCTCCCGACGGTATACCCGCTGCGGATTGTCCTATCGTCTGTATCCCGCCCAGCGGCGGCGGCCCTCTGCCCGTGGGTACTCCTACATTACTCGCAGCACTTCCACCCACCTGGCCCCCTGGCTGGGCGCTGTAATTTCCATGAAACTCCGATCCTGAAACGAGATTTACAATTTGTTTTAATACGTCGTCCTGTATAACAATTGTCAGCCGTCCAATTCGCCATTTCTCGCTATCTTATAATGTCATGCAAAATTGTTTCACACTCTTTCACAGCATAATAAATAGGCGTAAAATAAAGATACGCAAGGTCAGTGCTACGATGTAAAACTCTGTGTGTGCTCTACAAATTTGTATATAGTTTCTATGTGTAATTTATTTCTTTATGTATGTTTTATAATTTTATATGATGAACAATTGTATCTTTTAATCCTTAATATGGTATACAAGATATACCATGATACATTAATGCGAGATGTTGTAAATAAATGTGTAGAGCAAATAAAACAAGATAATATAACACAAGATTTATATATTCCTATTTTCTAACATTAATTTTTCAAATATTTGAGTCTTATCTCTTATTAAACAGAAATGTGATTCAAAAATCATTAACAAAATGCATTCACCGGAAATTGAAATGAATCGTACCATGTTTAGATTGATTAAGCTTGCTACAAGCATATTGCGTTAAACATTATGTGTCTTAGGTTATTCTGATAAGAATCAGACACATATATAAAATATAAAAACATAAATATTTCCCAAATTTATTGGAGAGTTACAGAGCTGTATTTATATCTGAACCAAATATATAAGACTCGTTTAGATATATAGTATTATAATTGTGGATTTATTATTATATATATATCATGGATTAATATTATAAAATTATTGTGGATTATATAAGTATAAAAATGAGTACAAAAAAAGATAAGTAGCTACGCACTGAGTAATATAAGATATTAAAATGAATAATCTACGATTTTAAATTGTTGCGTAAAAAGACAGAGAGGTAGAAATATATATTATGAATTATATGAGTATAAAAATAAGTACAAAAAAAAAAAAAAGATAAGTAGCTACGCAGTAATAAAATATAAATGATCTACGATTTTAAATTGTTGCTTAAAGACAGAGAGGTAGAAAGCAAAGTCAGGCTGTTTGCGAAGGAAAGAAAAGTCCAACTTTCTGCACCCGTATAAGAAACACAGAACACGACACTAATCGCGCGAGCTTACACAGCACATAGATAAGTTATCTAGGCGCAGCAGCAGCACGTATTCCCGAAACGCGTATATCTCGCCTCCCAATCTCGATAAGGTTCCCTCTCGGTTATCCTCGATCTCCTAACCAATTATACACGTCAATTACGAGGCGACACGTCGACGTTTTCGAGACTTCGTTATCGCGTCCCCGATATTCACGTTTATACTTCCGGGATTCGCAGCCGTGAATTCCGTTATTCGAGATACCTCGTCAACGTCTTCGCCGCGTCCTCGGAAGTTAAACGGAAGCGAGGGGAAGTCGAGAAGACCGGATGAATGGACAGGACGGAGGGACCCGGTGATAGATCACGCGCGACTGTTTCTCGCTCCTGCTCGAAGAGAGGAAAAATATGGGACCGTTTCCAGCATGTCCGCGCTCTACTGCTCACCGTCTTTATTTCCCCGGGAACCTGGTCTGGATCCGTTCGTTGAGTCTATCCTTCGAAGGAGTTGCAGGAAAACGATTCTCGAGGATGATCTCGGTTACGAGAATGAAACGCTGGCCCGACAGCGAGATTCCAACGTAAGCGAACGCGACGACGGACCGACCTCGCGGACGGCCATCTTTGCACATGTGGGCAGGGACCGGGGAACAGTGGCGCCATCTGGCGGCGCGCGCGGGAATCGATTCGAGACAGGAGCGACACCGTCCCGCGCCTTCCTCGGCGAAAAAAGTGCGCTCCTCGCATTCTTCACATTTTTCATCGATACTCTTGTTATTTACATATTCACTTCGAGTTTCGAAAATATTTTTACTTTTCTCCCCGCGAGAGGGTGCGGGGAATTAAATGTCAAGCGAGAAGAAAAATAATTTTGTTCGAGGTGTATACTCTTATAAATAAATTCCATGATTTTCCAGGTACTCTTTTGTCGTTCAAAATTCCGAGTAAAATTAAAGTATTTTAAAAAATTTTGAATACAATTTTAAATTAAGTTTACTTCGTTATACATAATTTTTTAACACGAATAAAATATTTGTTAATATAATATAATGTTATATTTTAGAATGAAAGATATTTTAATGAACCTGACAAATTTTATAATTCTTTAAAGGTACATTAAAAAATAAAATCAAAGGTGCGGTTTTGTTACAAAATTCCCCGAGTTTAAAATAAATTCGAGTATTCCAGTATTATTTTTGAAGATAGAAAAAAATTCCAGGCTTTTCCCGGGAGTATATACCTTGTTCCAACCTCTCGGATTACGAGGAAAAAAAAGAGCGGCAAAGGGTGCCCAGGGAAAGAGCGCCGCGAAGAGCCGCGCCTGGGCTCTGACGTCATCTCCGGTGAATGACGTATGCAGCTGCACCCCACCCACTCTCTCTCACTCTCTCGCTCTCTCTCTCTACCTGCTGCCGCGCGGATCCTCTCCGAACTCGAGTCGCTCGGCTCGGCTTTGGGATCCGGGCGACATTGAGCGAAAACGCTTCCGTTGAAACGGAAACGCTACGGCACTGAAATGCGAGGCGCGAGAGGTTAGGTTAGGTTAGGTCGCCGCGCGAGAGCGAAGCCACGTGGCGCGGACGCGCATCGATAGCATCTTCGGATCTTCTCGAAGGAGAGTCGCCGTACAAATGCTCTCTCAATGATTCGTGAACAGGACTAATCCCCCGTCCATTGTCGAGGCTCTTTCGTCTTCCCCCTATCACGAACGTAATAATGACGAGCGCGATAAGTGACGACGCTTCGGCGCGATAACGAGCGATTTTCATTAGTCAAGCGGAAGCTCGTCGATTCGAAAATCATATCGATGGTTTCCTCTTGCTATATTTAGAAAAAATATATTAATATATGTATTCATTTTTTTCCTTATTTTATATATATTTAATATATATATTAATATATATATATATATTACATATATAAAATATTAATATACATATATATATATATATATTAAATATGTAAAATAGATTAATGAAAATATATATAAAAATAAATTGTATTAATATATCGGAATATTTTTTCTTCAGAAGTTTAGACTCAAGGCCGTTCCAAGGTTCCTAACAACAATCCGAGGAATGTGTGTATATTGGTATGAATGTGTATTGATTTTTTTCTCGTTTTCACGTATATCGACGAGCCGTTGATACGGTTTTGGAAATAATAACGTTTCGAGGGAGCTTATTGCGAAACCATTTTAGCGAACGTCTCGTCGTCGGACGAGACAAAAGACGAGACACGAGATGGAACGGGAAAGGATCGAACGTGTACCTTCGTCGCGGCACAAGGTGGAAAGCGTTTTATCGATTGACCTATATCGTGAATTGTCTAAAGCGCCGTCCAGGGGCGCTAAGAACTAACCTAAATAGCGGGCCGTCCCGATATATCGATACCTGCGAATCGGGGAAAAAACGCCCGATTCGACTGTTCAATTTAAAAACAAAAAAAAAAATTAAATAAACCCCCCTTAAATTTTAATTAACGCGAAAGATCAGGAACTAATTAAAATTCGTGATAAATAATAATTTTAGATGCATGCCGCCCTAATTTAACATAAATTTGCTCGCCTGATGAAAAGACTTGCTTATGACGTCACAAAATTTGACAGCTCGTAAGATCGACGAACATACGTCATCGTTTTGACATGACGGCGGAATATTGCGCGGAAAAGAGAGGAGAGAGAGAGAGAGGACGCGACGACGCGGTTCAAACTCGTGCGTCCGCAAATAGACACAAACGCTTCGACTCCTGACAGATGGGTTACCGGGTCAGATTAACCATCCGCTCGAAAATAACGCGCCTCGCATCATTCCGTTCCGTGATTGCGCGAGTCGAAAAATATATACCGCGATGTTCGGATGTTGTTCGCGGGCGATAAAAAGGTTCAACGCTCGACGAGAGAGAGAGAGAGAAAGAAGAGAGGCCTTTCTCGGGTCTCTCGAAATTACGTTAGCGCAGGTCATAAGCCGCGAGTCAAGGACGACGACGACGACGGACGACGACGAGGAGAGCCCGCAGAAGCCCGTCGAGAATAATAAATAAACGAGCGGCAAGAAAGAGCAGACACACACACACATATGTATATATATATATATATACGCGGTATTATTATAAACTCTGCTCTCTCCCATCATCGGTCACCGGATCTTTCGCGTGTCCATGTGATGGAGCAAAGTCATTGGACTCTTTTCGGCGAAAAAAAAATTGGCCTGTACATTTCAATGAATTTTAGGAATGTTTACGAAGAAAAAAGAAACGGTGTTTCTTTCGTACCGTGAAGTTGTTATCATCCAAAGCGCTATCAGAGGTTCACGCGTGCACGATTCGACATTTTAAAACGCAATCAAAGTCATAATTCTTCGCGGTTCGCGCATAAACCAAGTAAAATTGTTGCATACAGCGATTTTAACGAGTCTTTACACTGCAGCAAAAAAATGTGTTAACTTGACTGAGCCTTTCAACTAAATTGCTATTTTGTTGATTGAACATGTATTAGTATTTAAGTCATTACATTTTGTTAAATTTAATATATAATAGATAACAATTTGCGCACACATATATAAAATATTATAATATATAATAATTTGTTAGATTTAAAATATAATAATATATTTAATTTTATATTGCACTTAATATTTAACATGTTTGTATGTTCAATTAACAAAATAATATTGAAAGGTTTAGTCAAGTTAACAAATTTTCTTCAGTGTAGGGGATAGAAAATTCGATTCAAATCGTCGAGCGAATATTCAGAATAATTTCCTTTTACGCTTATCGCTTTTGATATTTTTGGCGCCAAATTATTAATCGAAATAAAATCAGTAATGGATTTTGTATGTCAAAATATATATATATATAAGAGAGTTTTCGAGGGAACTGAACTTTGGGGAGAAGCGCATTTGGCTTGATTTGAAAAGATGGGAGATGAACGATAAAGAACGATCA